CGACTGGTGAATACGGGTGAAAATATTTTTGTCGGCACCTGGATTCGAACTTCGGTCCTTCTAATTGTCAGCCAAGCATGATAACCACTACAACACAAAATAGGTGGTCGGATGTGGGAACCTTTTCCCACACTATCGTGTCTTAGGCAGTGGTACTTGCGCAGAACGTGTTGTGTTTTCCTGAAAAACAACCGAGGACTAAATTACGGGACAGCTCTCATCCGCGTGATGACGTCAAACCCCTCCTAGGCCACGATTAACTTGCTACCAACTTACAACCTTGCTTGCAATAAAAAAAATGAGACGTTTACAATTGTCTGTAATGCGAAATTAGAAAGCAGCTCTTGAGGAGGAGGAGGGGAGGGTGCGGAGAGGTGGGTAGGCCGTTTCTCCCCCTCCATACCCTCCACTCCTTTTCTCCTCCTCCCCTCCCTTTTAGCAGAAAATGTTCGCTAAATTTCCCTCTAAATAAAACAAAAATTCTCCCGCTAATTTTAGCCGTTATTTAGTGAACATTTCCCCTCTAAAGTTAGCGCGGAAATGACGTAACGTGACCTCAACACCAATTTAGTTTCCTCGCAAAATTTAGCGGGGAAACTGTGACGTCTCATGATGCAACGCGCGCTGTTACGCCGATGTCGACGGCGACGGCGACGCCGCTCTACCCGGAAACAAACGCCTAAGAACTGCGCTCTAAATAAAACACACACACACACACACACACACACACACACACACACACACACACACACACACACACACACACATCAAGTTAGAACTCTGCTTTTGTTCAGCGTTAGATTCACATCGAGAGGGTACCGGTTGGAGCCCCGAACATGCAGTTCCTCACTTGTTTTGTTGTATTATTTTTTTTCAACCTGACGACCATTTCCTTTTCAAAGGTCGATGCACTTCATCCTTTTCAGAAAATGCTAGGATCTAGCCAGTCATAAAACCCTCTCTGCTAAAAAGAAGGTGGGTTCGGGCCGAGTTCGGGCTGGCTCATTTTAAAAATAACAATCGAGCTCGGACCGGGTTCGGGCTATCTTACCGATCGCGTTGGGTTCGCCCCGACTTCCACAAATCATAATCAAGCACGGACCGGGTTCGGGCCGTGCCGGGTCGGGCCTGAAATTTCTGCCCAATCTAATCTTTAGCAGGAACTCTGTAATAGTGAAATAATCGATACTCGTTTTCACCTCAAGAAAAAGGAATAATTTGCGCATTGTTCCTACGCCGCGGAAAGTAGTTTTTACAAGATTAGGTTGTCGGAGGAAGAAGCGATGCTTTTAGCGTTTGAAACGTGTACGTCTTGATAAGATAACATATATATAACCTAAAACGCACCATGATATATCTTAAATACTTAGGTCTAGAGAGAAGTAAGTACTGCTCCACGAGGAGCCGGACTTTTGTAGTGCGGATCTTGAGGAGAAAACGCGTTATAGCAATCGCGAAGGCACTTCATGGTTCGAATGTACCTGCGGCGGCATATGTGTGTGTCATGCTTTTCAGTTAATATTCCAGCAAAGTGGCTACACAACAGAATCGAATCTTTTCTACATTCACAGTTCCTTCGCCACGTGTCACATTGTATTTCATTCCGTTAGAAAATGCTCCTCGTTCAAACCTCATCAAGTAATATCCCACCGTCTTTGCATTGGCGCAACGTTAAAGCCAGGCGATTTCTTTTTTTGCGCTAAGCCGGTTTTTTTAAGTGCCCCTCTTTTCTCGCGACGTCATCGATGACGCACATGCCCTGCTAGAATACTCCCCGGAGGGGGTCACATGTACCCGTCTCCGACTCGGTGGGGAGTCACGGGTCCCTTCATCGTTCAAGCCGTGCCTGTTAGAGTGTGCGGACGCAATTATTTTGAGAAGCCGCCCACGGACGGCAGCGACGCATCACCCGAACGTCTTCGCACAACGGGTGTGCCGTTTATGATAGAGGTACGAGATGATAACCTCTTTTCTTTCGGGATTGCGAAAGTTGCGGCACGCTGTCAGGACAACCACACCGAGTCACAAGAGAACATGTCTCTCGAAGTGTTTTAGGCTTGTATGTAAAATCATTTTAGGATGTCTGTACCTGGACACCAACACCCGACTTTGACGCCACTACGCTGCGGTGGCGCTACTCTCGGTGCATGCGCATACGCTTCACTTTATTCGATTCTGAGTTCTGCGCACGCAGTACTCATACCTGGTGGGGAAGATGTGGACTTTATAATGAGCGTGTTGGCCTAAAATCGTTAGAAAGTGATGCCTCTGAGCGTCGCCATCTTGATGCTGGCGCGTGTAAATCGTCTGATAGTCGAGCAGGATAGATGGATGGATTCTAACGGCAGTACCCCTTATATTGGGCGGTAGCTTGCGCCACCTTGCCATTTCGCAAAGGTGTGCCCACAGGTGCCAAGCTGGTGCGCCAACAACGCGTTTTTTTTTTTTTTTCACAGCGTTTTGTTTCTCACGGCGTTTTCCCACGACGTAAAAAAACGCGACTGCAGTTTTTTTTTTTTTTTTTTTTGTGGAAGTACGCTGTTTTTTGACATAGCGAGTGATTCACCAAAAGCTGGTCAAACCTCTGTGAAAAATGGGTGTCTCTAAGAAAAAATAATCATACCGCGTTTGCCACTGCAACGAGGTCTAAATATTGATGTACATAGTGTTTAAACAAATTACGTATCTAAATATTTCGCGTAAACACATTATCAGTGAAACTAAATGTATGGTTCGAACTAGAAACTCGCTGGAGGTGATCGGAAGTAACTACATCGGTCAATGTTAGGAAGATTTGGATTGCGTGCTACGTTACTTGGGGTCCCAAGTATGTGCCTTACAACGACGTGCCCTCATGGTTCTTCCGTTTCTTATCATCCGCAGTTTCGCTTCACCAGCCTCGCGACTTCAGCCGTACCATTTGCTCATCTCCACGCTTCTCGTGGTCCCCACGTTCTCCTAATATTGGCTGATTTAGTGGGGTTTTCCTTCAGACCCGAAAAAGCCTCCACTACTTGAAACCCCATAAAAGGTTAACTAAGCAAAACCCTGCAATGCGTAATTTTCGCACAATAAAAAAAAAAGAAAAGAAGCACGTTTGGTCTGCATTTTATGAAACACCTAGTTCAATGGTTTGCTGCATGTAAAGCAAACGCTATCATAAGGTCCGTTAACTGAGAGGACTTCCAACAAAATATTCCTGAATATTCAGGACTCGCAGTCATTGAGAGCTTGCGAAACGCAAAGGGCGTAGCTTGTTAGGGCTTGATTCGTGATTGGTTCTTCTGCGTTCCTCTCATCGGTTAATGGCGCAATCTGATTGGCCGTGGAGCGATAATGAGATGTTCGTACCGGGCATCTGATTATCGTTTCACGGATTGCCACGTACTGTGTTTCTTAGGCTGCAGCTGAAAGTGACTCTGGTATGCGGAACGCAAGTTCTGCTTCTTGAGCAGGGGTTGCGATGACGTCAGGACGCCGACGAGCTCTGGTTGGCTCCGAGTGGAAGGATAGTGGGTAGACTTCAAGGCTGCTAGCATTCAGGTCTACCCACTCTCCCTCCATCAGAGCCAATCAGAGGTCAACATTATGACGTCACTGCAAAGCCTGCACAAAAAGCAGGCGAAACTTGCGCTCCGCATAGCGTGTGCGTGCACTTAAATATAGATTTCTCTGTCTGGACGGTGAGCCGAGAAGAATTAAATAAACGAAAGGAAGGGGTTAAAAAGACACTTAGGTTATCAAGTAAACATTCAGGTTTCGCAACGTTTCTGAGTCTTTCTGAATTTTTGTCGAGGTTTCCTCTACGTTGCATCGTTTGTGTGTCAGGTCTCACTTATGGCGTCGAGCTGTATGTGTCGCGTCGACATTTAGGCAACTCGTCACCCTTCCTAAAGGAAACGCCGCTTTCTCACCGTTTTGTATGCTTTGGCAACTCAATTTTTTTCTTCGAAGTTAGGAATTTATTAACTCTGCGAAAGTCGCGTAGGTAAATTCCTTCATTCTACCCAAGAGATCTAGAGTCCTAGACTATTCAGGTAATTAAGAAGTTAAGATTGTGAGCGAGACGTTTTACTGTTACGGTCAGGTTTTCTTGGAACTGTCTTATCTATCGAACAAAGATAAAAGGGCTGCACGAGGTTCGATTCAAAGTAAGGGAAACGAATACGTTAAAAGCAATTTTGATTTCCTCAACATGTCGAAACTGTCCCTAAAAATAGAGAGAAGTTCAAACGCTGTTGAAGCTTTATTTAACAGACTTTTCTGGAAGAGTAATCTATGCTTAACAGAGTTCTATGTCAGACATTCAACACACGAGCCACTACCCTTTGCGAAGGTATTTTAGGAACTGTCGGTTTAGATCCGATGTCTCAAAACAAAACACTTATATTTAATGTAACTGCGGAATATTTACACATGTACAGGGAAGGTTCGATGTTGTGTCCTCGTCCTTCATTACCTTATCCAATCTTCTTTTTGTCTCCTCGGAACACCCAAAGCAACACCCTAAAAGAATTTAAAAAATCCACAAGATCTTCGGGTGAAGCAGTCTGCAACCCATGCAAGAACCACATTTCCGCGCCACCGCAACACACCTCTCCCCTCCCCTCCCCCAACACACAGATAGTAACATTCTGATTACGCACGGATTGCCACCCCAACTCTTCCAACTCGGCTATTTAAAGTATTGATAAGGCGTGCAACCCCAATTAAAGCTGCTGCTATTTTGTGTGTGTGTCTAGCGCAAGAAAGGAAAGAACCGTTCACTATCCTCTCGTTTAATTTTCTTTTTTCCTAATTGAAAGGTTTCCTTTTCTCTAAGTCAATAACTTTCTGTCCTTGTAGAAAGAAACCCGACAACAACCAGGGCTATCTTGATCGACGGAAGGTCATTGCGAGCTGCTATCCGTTGGCGCTATCGATATGTGCGCATTGCTGGGAGTCCGAGGGAGGAGAGAACCGCTCATGAAATTAAACCGGTTCATTTTTCTCTTTTGTAGCCGACCATCTTCGAGCGAAAGACGCACCCGTCCAGAGATGGAATTCACTTTGACAAAACTGTACTACATTCCGTACATCGGAGTCGTCTCTGGACTTGGGGGCATCATCACGAGCTATGTGATCGCGGTGGCAAGGGGAGACGTCAAACCCTGGCTACCATACATCAGGTAAGATGGGGTTTTTTTCGTTCTTTTTCCTAATTTTATGTAGAAAATTCTGTAACTCGTTATGTACGTTGTTTAAGGTAAAGAGAAACCGAGGGCATTGTTATGTATTTCGATAGATGGGAGTTGAAGAGGAACAAAAGTTGCCTGATTTTTAAAATGATAGTGGACTCGATTTTTAAGCTGGTGGCTTTGTGCACAAGTATTGATTCCCCTGTGCTTAAAACTGTATTTTATGTGCTTTAACATGAAACCTCACTTTAGTCTTTAGGAACAGTCATTGCTTCTGGCTTATGTTTTCTTCTTTGTCTGTGTGAATTTCTTGGCTGAGTTGATTCACTCTAACTATATTAATTGCCAGTTAACAGTTTAGCGTCAATTTTCGGTATTACTGTTCATGTTACTGGAATTGAAACGCTTGTGGCTTCACCAAAAACGCGGTGGAAGGGTGTCGCAATGTGATATTTCTTATATTTGTATGGGTCACAGAGTAGCATGGTTTGAGAAGCACTAAAACAGTAGTTCTCAAATAGGGGTCCGTGGACCTTTTAGGGTCCGCAAGGGCATTCCAGAGGTCCGCGAAGCCCTGCCTCATCAGTCAAGCCTGGCAATAAAAGTTGAGTTTTTCAGGTCGAGAATAAATGTTTGAGTTTTCGGGCGAGTTTTCTCTTGTGTATGTAGATTTGAGAGGTCTACTTCACTCTAGGCCTTAGTCATATCCAATTTTTAAAATTATTATTATGTTTAACCTGTACCTTTCCCCTCCCCTCACCGTGAACAAGGACCTCCATCATCTCCACCGATCCACAAGGGGTCCGCGAAACACCGACGGTTGGGAACCACTGCACTACAATATAGAACACTTGTTTTTGTGTAAATGCCTCATACATTAGGGAATTTATAATAGGCGTTAAGCTCTGCATCGTCTTTATTGAATTACATTTCGGAACAACTTGTGTACAAATATGCCGTTTTTCTTGATTAATTGCTCGGCATGTTAAATTTTCACCGCAGAATACGATTCTACAGTAATACTAAAAAATAGAAGAATCGTCGCAGTTGTCAAGTGGAATCGCCTGTGTTAAAAGTACCTTATAAAACTGCATGTGTACCTAAATGAGGGTAATAGCGCAGGCTATCTGGTGAACGGTCATACTTATATATACTTTGAGACGTCGTCGTATTATCTATTTTTCTTTTCTTTTTTCATTTGTCTTGGTACTTTGTAAGCATGACTGTGTACCAGTATATTGTTTCACCTTGTCAGCCTCCTCGGAATGTAGTACATATAACATAAAGCATACTTCTTAAATAAGAGCCTCGAGCACCAGATGATTCGTGGAAAACGTCAAGCTGCCGTCATCTTTCAATCGAGTACGTCCCTATACCGATAAACGGACGCTCGTTTTTTTTTTCGAAAGCCTTTTCAAATTACCTCAGAGTCGAAAGCTCGGCATCCTACATTAGCGCCGTAACGAATGGGCCATTGTTCCCCCCTCTAAGATAATCTCAACCTATTCCGCTCTCGCGACATCGCTTAAACACGGCGCACGGAGTCGTCAGGCCGCGCCATTATCCCTCCCAGGCCGCCGCTGGGATGATTAACTTTCAGCGCGTGCGGCGCGCCCACCCGCCCACCCACCAAACATTCAACCTCGTTGAGTGACTGTCAGGATGCCGAGCGTACTGACGTGCGTCATAAGGTTCCCGCTTACGTAGGACCCAGTATTTTGTTTGGAGGCGGCCACGCCAAAGCCACGCGGATGTCCCCGAGGAGAACTTCCGCGTAATATCACTTTTTTTTTTTCTCTCGACGTCTGCCGAGGGAATGTATAAAAGATGAACTTGTAAGAGGGCTGTCGCCATACGTCACACCCGCGAGCGTGTGTCGCCGTGCGAGAGAAACTGCACGATGATGCCGCGAGAAACCGTTAGGGTTGAGTGCACGCGGATCTTGCGGCAAGGTCGGAAACGGCTGCGTCTCTCCGTCGCGTGAAAGCAAGCTTTGTTTTCGGTCTTGACACCAAGCTCCGGGCGATGTCAGCGCGGCCTATGCCAGGGCCGCATTTTCTTTATTTTTTCCCCTTCTTCAGTCGGCCGCCAGGTCATGCCCATACAGTGCATGGTGGTCTCGCCAAATTAGAATGAGGCACTGCAGAACCCTCAGTGACACCCAAGAAGACAAATGTTCATCATTAAAAGAATTAACCATGGTGTCATTTGCTAACTCGAAATGACACTACAGGAGAACATGAGTCTCGTATTTAAATTACTAGTCATATAGTTTCCTTTGAAGTTATAGAAGTTGCATATCGCCGTATAAGACATTAAGAATACGCGAAGAATGCTGGCATCACTGCGCTATGTAGCGGATGCCTTCAAGCGTGCAGAACTGTTCTACTCCAATCATACAAATTTTGTCAGGACTGTGAAGGTTTTACCAAGTTACCTATGTACGTGAATCTCCGCTTGAGTTACTGACAGAGACCCACCAGTCATCGACTGCAAGTATCCGTTTCTCTGTACCCTGAAAACTATATCGGAATTTGATCTTTCTCCAAGAACTTGACAAAATGCCAAAAAGATCTTTGCACACTATGTCGCCATAGACTCGATACAATAATAATAATTATAATTGTAATAATAGTAAGTATTTTATTTTCATCGATTATGATGGTGGAAAAAACCTGCAATGTGCCGCTTGGTTGGTCCTTGTCTCTACAATCGTCAGCTGCAAGCGTGTATGAAATGTACATAAAAACGTAGTACACTAACTTAGAAAGCAACACTTGAAACTCACATAACTACAGATTTTAGCCTATTAAGAAAATTTAAATCACGTGCTAAAATACAAGCGCAGGTTTTTTAAAGTTGTATAGTCAAAATCAACAGTACTCAAATAAAAATTTTCTAAAAAATCTGCGAATGCAAATTTAAGCATTTGAATTCCATATTTCGTTCCCTGAGTGACCATCCTCCACTTCTCGGCAAAGCGGGTGGGTGGAGTAGGCTGATGAATAGTACTTCAAAGGCGCAAGGTTTTGTCAAAAACCATGAGGCCCTTATTTCTTACTTCTTGAAACTGACCTATTGTCTATATCATACCGCTTGAGAATCGTAATTATCCCGAAGTTCCAGAATACTTCAGCTGCCATAAAGAACAATACAGATGCGCTCCTTAACATTTTTTTTTTTTGTGTAACAGAAAAACTTCTTTTAATATTGGTCACAGTTGGTGAACCCTGGACTAAATTGCAGCATGTTAAGATGGAGTAAAATAGAGAGTTGTAAATTAACAATTTAACATTCGTGGGCAACAAAGAACGGTAGCGATTTAGGATCCCTATTACTCGCGAGAGCTTTAGAATTAGATCATTTACATGACAATCCCTGGACATGCTCGCATTCAAAAATACGTCGAGGGTTTTAAAGGACCTGACTATCTCGATCGGAGCGAAATTCAAAATGAGTGGTTTAGATAGTACGACAGACTTGTTTCTTTGGACGAAAAATTAATTATTTTTCTGCATTAATGTTTATTATTTAAGGAGGTACTTTCGCACCAAGATTCTATCTTGAATACACTCAAGTTTGCCATATCTATTGGACCGTCACTTGTTTCGGAAGGAATAAATATGCTTCTATCATCTGCGTAGCTGAACAATTTATCTTCCTTATTAATGTTTACAAAGCAGTTTACGTATGAGTTAAGAAGAAGTGATCCTAAAATACTTTCTTGTGGAACACCTGAAGTCATAGGTTTTATTATGGAAGAGTAATTGTTCATGCATGCATATTGTTCACGATATTTTAAGTAGGAGAGTAAAATTAATAGTGCCTGTTCACGGGTACTGCGACTTCACGTGTGATCAAACACTTCGTACATCTGCGCTATATTTTCTTGTTTTCTACGAACAATCACTCAAAGATAGTGTTGGTGCTTTTTCACCTGAAATTTAAGCGCCAGCATTATCTATTTTTGACGGTAAGAACAAATAAAGTAAGTGTGACAGGAAGAGTGACAAAATCTATCCATTGGCACACACAGTTTCATTTGATTTTCTTATATCAATTACAACATAGAAAAGTGGCAAAGCTAATATTCTTTTTCTTTCGGGTCAATGACAAAAAGTAAAAACTGCCATCTCCTTTTTTTTTGCAGTGATGCTGGAGGCGACTCGCCGCAAAGCTCCATCTTCTCTTTCTCCATGATCGTGGTCTCATTTTGTTGTAAGTTGCTTTACATATAGAGCTCGTGGTGGGGCAACAGAGCACGTCACTCTAGCCGCTATGCTCTAGAAAGCAAAGCCTTTGTCCCGCCACAAACGCGGCAGTTTTTATTATTATTATTATTATTTTATTTGCTGGCAGACAGTTGACCTTCACATCTACTGCGCGGGGCGCTCGACACGTGAAATATGGGACGGCCTGGTAATAAAGCGGTCTGAGACGTGGAGAACTCTAAAAAAAAAATATATTTATAAAGGACTCGACGAGAACGAGGCTGGATCTTTGTCTGAGGGTTCAGACAATGACGAGACTGGGGCACTTTTTATGACGCCCTGCGAAACGGCGTTACGGGAAGTGTGTATATATACCATATTAGGTGAAAACGGGGCAGAGAAATGGACATTGTAAAGCAGAAGTAACAGCGTGTGTGAACACGAGCAGAAATTGCTTCGTCCGCTTCGTGTGACCCCTTTCTTAATTTGGAACGCTGAGTACACATTGTGGCCTCTCCAATTTAGGCTACGGAACTAATTAGGCTTTTTAGTTCTAACATTGGTCCCGCTCTGGCCCTTGTCAACTTGGTGGCCACCGGTAATTAAACTCACGAACTTTTTTTAAGCTTCTTTGCTTGTTGAGTTGACTGAATAGCTAATTGCATTGTGAACCTACATTTTTAGTCACATTAATGCAGAGGCTTACAATCCAACGTACAACGGTTGCAACTACGCGGCTATCAAAGATTAGACGTTGTTTCGACTAAGTAATTTCCTCAATTAATTTTAATATGCGGAATTTCAAGACTAGAACTCATGTCAAACCTAAACAAAACCCTCGAAATTCACCGAACTCGAGAATAAATGGAAAGTGTGCCTTGGTGCGCGTGGTCAAATGTGCCCGAGACTGGCATTATACTATGCGGAGAGCAAGTAGTCTGCTTCTTAAGCAGGGGTTGCGGTGACGTCAGAAGGACGCCGAGTTCTGATTGGCTTTGATTGAAGGGTGGTGGGTAGACCTCAAAGCAATCTGTCTTGAGGTTTACCCACCATCCTTCAATCAGAGCCAATCAGAGCTCGGTAATCGGACATCACCACAACCCCCTGCAAAAGAAGCAGACGAATTGGCGCTCCTCATAGTCGCTGACAGCATGAAAACGGTGTCTTTATTGAACTCACAGCGTCCAGCACTTGCTCGTTGGCTTTCACCTTGCTATGACTGCGCGTGCACTCTCGAGGATAACCTCTGACTGAGATGTTATCGTCTCAGTGAGAGGACAACACAAACACAAAGACGTCTATGTTTTTGTATTGTCAGTCTCGGCTACTTTTCACCATGTTTAATCTTGACCCCATTTTCTTTGTTTGTTAATACCCTTTGACGTGTACCATAGGCCCAAAGATTTTCTTGAGGCAGATTACATGCGGTTAGTCTTTACAGTTTCATTATAGCGTCCACTGCACGCGCATCTATAAGAAGACATCCTTCTCGCTTTCTTGAGATCAATGCGCCGTCCCTTTAGGAGGGATGATGTAACTCTCTTGTCGGTCTTTCATGTAGTTCTTGTCGGAGTTACCCTCTGCCACCTCATCCTCCTCAAGAGAAACATCCACGGCAACATGCTAGTCAAATGGCTTAACCGACTTCTCCTGATCGGTGGGGTTACAACATCCTCCGGCATGATCATCCTTGCCGTGAATCCTGTCGGCCATCTGAACAGAGATGGCTCTTGGGTGAGTGAAGAGTGTGTATATGTCTCATGTATCGTTGTTGTTGTTGCTGTTCTTGTTTTTAAATGATAGAATGTGCTTCACTGACCGAATTTCATGAGAAAACTGTCATGAAGAACCGTCACGAAGGACCGTCACGAAGGGCCCTCTCGTAAATTTTCTTCCTAAATCTAGCGGGGAACCTAATGTCACTGTAAGTTAATTTGGTCTATAAATTTATCGGGTAAGTGACGTCCCTTGACGTCAATTTTATCGCTTAATTCAAAGGAGAAATTGACGTCACGTGATCCCGTCATTTGACCTCACGCCACGTGACTTAAGTTTCCGCGAGGTGGTAACTGGCGTTCAGCATATTCTGTGCTATTCAGTTTTTATAAGCATGATCAAATTTGTTGTTGCTTTTTCGGGCTGGTCATTCTATTTTATTTCCGTAACGATGAATTTGCTAGAACTTAAAATGTTTGTCATCTTTTTGTAGACGGTGAAAGTTAGTCTGATGGCTGTGCTGTGCCGATAAGAAATTTAGCCATGCGCCTGTTTCTATGCACCAGTGTCATTGCGAGCGCATTACCCTTGTTGCACTGGGCGTATAACGATACTAAAATTCTACGCTCTAGCAATCGAGCTCCAGGGCCCGCCTGCACCTTCATTACACATCTAGAAAACAAAACGCTTCAGTAGTGCTCCAAATTAGCGAGTAAAAAACATACCATTTTCAACTTTGAAGTGTCAATCTGCAATGATAATAGCGGTGATTTATTAGAATCGGCTTTGTAAGGGTGCGGATTTTGCCACTTTTCTTCACTCCGAACACAATCTAGCAGCACGCACCTTTAAGGCGAAAGACAAACAAGCGACACGATTATTGAAGTGTGTAGCGGAACCTGAAAAAGTCTAGTGATTATAGTAGGAATCCCTATTCGGCGCCATCTAGCGACACTCCTGAGAAGTCAAGAAACTGAAACCACGCGCCTGTCGAAATGTACAGCGCAAACTTCATTTTCTCCACTACCTCATTCTCGCCTGTTTTAATTGTGAGTCGATGAAGCGTCATCGAGAGGCCCTACAGTGCCTAATAACCACCGAAGTTATAGTGAGTGTGACCCATAAATAAAATCACATAAAACCTTTTGGTGAACAAGCATGGGTGTGTTTCACTAGTGATTGCGAAAGAAATATGTGCACCTGACTTTCAAGAATTCCAGTTCGAACTCACTGAGAAAAAAAAAGAAAGACGTTTACAATTCTCTGTAGTTACGAATAAGAGCGCAGCTCTTCAGGAGGAGGAGAGGAGGGTACGGAGGGGAGGTCACGTGTGACGCCACGAGGGTAAAATGTTCCTGCTAGATTTGACGGGAAAATTTTGCGGGTTGAGTTTCATGACGTGTGACGTCACGACAGTACAATTTTCCCGCTATATATAGCGGGAAAATATTTCGCTAGATTTACCGGGGAAATTTTCCCACCAAGTTTAGCGCAAAAAATTCCCGTCAAATTTAGCGAGGAAATGTTACCCTAGTTAAGTCACACGTGACGTAACGTGTGACGTCATTATGGGAACCCTCCCATAATGCAACGCGCGGTTACGCCGACGGCGATGGCGACGCCGCTCAACCCCGAAACGGCCGCCTAAGAGCTGCGTTCTAAAACGAATATATTCTCACACCCCTTGTCGCATACACGACGCCCCAAAACTTCAGTTGGAAGTACAACGCCCTGGCGTTGAACCGAAGCTACCAAATTTCACGAGTGGCTTGCCGTGTTGTACAACTTATTAAAATAGCTAATGTGAGTGTGAGTGACTGCAAAAGCGTGATTGGGGTTTTCTTGGCCCTTCTGCAAAACCTGCCTTTTTTTCTGTATACTTTGATACGTACTTTTTGCTATTTAATAAGTTACACTGTTTAAGTTAATAAGTTAAAATAAAAGGCTTGTTGATCCATCGTTTAGTTAACTAAAAAGTCGAATTCAAAATGAAACGGGAAATAATGGAGAATTCCGTGGATATTTCCGTCTGAGCTGAAGAGTCAAAACATTCTTGAGAAATGCCAGGATTCCATGATAAAAAATATTCTTAAACAGTTTTTTTTTTACTTATCTATATTGACAAAATGAATTATTCCCTGGTCGATTTTGTTCCGGTAAACACGTTGCTAGCGCTTCATATAAAATATGAAAAACAAAAAGCGATGTCGGCAGCAGTAGGCAACATGTTTGTTCCTTTCCTATCTTCGCCCGCATTTTTCTAATCTTCCGTTCACGCATCTTTTTTTCATTTTTTGCCTGACGTCGGCATGCATAATCAAACAAACAAGATTCGACGGTGGAATCGTACAGCGCGACATTTTGGCTAACCTTCAAGAAAACGCTCACCCTCGTATCGGCGCCGCTTAGGAGAATGCATCTCTTCGAAGACAACACCGCTGGTCGCCTGAGATAGAAATCTGGACGAGTTAAGACCTTGATTTTGTTTCCGGAGTGTACCGGTTCGTGTGACTAATGTCGTTTCGTCACCTCGACCCTTCAGGCCCTGACGGTGTTTTTGCCACACATGGTGGGCGCCGTCGTCATGTTTACCAGCGGCATCGGTTTGATGATCATCCTGGCGACGTGCACCACCATCTTGGATTACCCGGACTGGAAGCAGAGGAACTTCTTTGTCCGTTGCGCCGCTGCCGTCATCGGACTTGTGTCGGGAATTTTGAGTGAGTGAGGCTACTAAAAAAACCTACACACGCAGAACAGAAGTCCGCGAACATATTGTTTTGCAGAACACGAGGACAGCCAATCACGGCGAAGAATGTAACTATCACTGAGACTGATGAAGATAAGAATATTATTAGACAAAAAAAAACAAAAAAACTACGATTTTCGCAGCGACACCGAGCGTGACGTTTCACTTGCTCATCCTCCGAGTACATATCGCACATCGTGAACTTAGTCGTATTATAAGCTCCCATCATTCGCAGGGGAGATTACCTTTGTTCGCGTTATTGGCTGGAACCCCCATACTTGTGTGTGTGTGTGTGTGCGTGCGTGCGTGCGTGTGTGTGTGTGAAGTCCCTATTAACCTGCACTGTGTTTAGAAAAAAGCCCGCGTTCGCTTAGACCAGGTACCCGATTTGTGTTAGGTGGAGCGTCTGCACATGGGCTGTGCGGGAACCACGCGTCGGCCTATCCTCCGTCTCACCTAAGGTGGACCGCAAGCGATGCTACGAGTCATATGCCGACCAATGAAGCCCTGCGAAAGTACCGCATGACCTTGCGCTCCGCGCGCTTTCTGTTGCCAACAGATAGGTCACGTGACATCCTGTCAGCTCTGGATTGGCTCTAATGGCTCGTAGCGTCTGCTACAATCCATCTGCATCCATGTGAGGTTGAAACAGGCTGGAGACAAAAGACATAGTACTCTGTGCTTCCTGCAAGTAAGGACAATCTTTGCGGCACCATGCGGGCCCAGTGGATTAAACTTTGGAATAATAATAATAATAATAGTAAGAATACTAATAACAACTTTGGTATTCTTCGAGTGAAGTATCGAGAGAGGGGGTAACCAAATTTTATCTGACGAGGTACGATCACCCTTGTACTTGAATCAGCAGGAGAATAAATACATAATAATAAGATTAACTCATCGACAATCTAATCGAATGTTATATACCAGTAACAGTTTTCCCGCTAAACAATCATCTTCTGCAATACAATATAGTAAATCTTTATATCTTGAGATTCTGCATATATTACAGTGGGCTAGGACACACCAAAAATAAAAGGAGATAAGTATACTGCTAGGGCGCATTGTATCTTCCTATATATTACTGCTAAACTTGTTTTGAAAATGGCGCGATAGTTTCCTGGATACTTCGATTTAAATGCGGGACCCTTCGATTCACCCCAGCCGACGATGCCGCCATGTTAGTTGGTTCGGTGACATCATTCGTCCAACTCGCGGCGTCCCCTTGCACGCACTCGCAGACTGGCTCCCTCGGCGTCTCACGCTTTAGCTTCCACGTTTACTTTCCGTGTTTCGAGCACGCGGTATCTCGACGATGGCGTCGACGGCATCTGTCGCTTCGTCAGAGTCTGCGACACTGATTGCAGCCACGATAAAACTGGCTGTTATCAAAAGATTTTGGAAGCTGGTCATTTTGACTTAGACTCGATCGGGACCAGCGACGACGACAAGATCGTCACGGACGAACTCGCCGTCGTCCGCGACGATGTTGCACGTGCCTGCAGGGTAGCAGGTGGAAGGGCAAGGGAACTAGGGCAAGAGTATACGTTGAAGTAGTCGAATAGCATTACAGGGCACGGTCGTACTGATGGTACTGTGGCGAAGCGAGCTTGGGCGAGCATGGGGCGCCTAGAATCAAAGAGGGCTCAACTATATATGATGATCACGTGGTTTATGGGCACCAGTGTGAGTAGCTTGAGCAGTGTAGCCTGGTCGCCAGACGAAAATAATCAACATTCGTAAATTGAATAATGCAATTGCTAGATCTCTAGAAATCGCGAAGCTTAGTGTATACACTAAGTAGCCTATGAAAATTTCATTTCAAGAATATTCTACCCGTTTAATTTAAGTGTACAAACCACTTTGATGACCACAACAAAAACAACTACAATAATAATAATAATAAAAATAATCTAAAAAATAATAACCATCAATTTTATTAGCTGCCCAAGCACAACCAACCTGTATTGGTTTTAGCACACCGAAATTAACACTCCTATAAATTATGCTAAAAACTGAATGCCCCAAAAGAAAACAAATATATTGGCAATAGAAGCACACACGCACGCACATACATACACACCAAAGAAACACACACACACTGTGACACACCGAATGAAAAACATAGTCTGAAGTTCGTGTTCATGGCTTGAATAGAAGCCAAGAATTTTTTTCTGTCACATATTTAACAGTAGTTAATGTAGAGCCATTACGTCTGAGCTCAAAACAAAACACGAGATATTGTCCGGGATGCTTCAAGACAAAAGCTATTGCTATGTTGATTTCAGTGTTTTATAGCGCAAGAAACAGCAAAACGAACTCGGAGACGCCATGCAATGGTAAGATATAGCATCCTAAGTCATTTTTTCGAAAATTGGACGCTGGAGACGAAGCGTTATGATAGCGAAATAAACTTGGAAGACGACATTGTGTTCACATATAATGTGTTCGCCGTCCTAGCTGATGATTGTCCTTTCTTGTGAAAACGCTAAGCCATGGTCATTGGATACCCTGTCTGGAGTAGTTTCGTAACGCTATATGGGAAAGTTTTCCCTGGGGTAAACTGAAGCTTCAGAGTCGCGCTGCCTACGTTAGGAGTCGGGTGGAGGCAAGTTCGAAGAAGCCACCGTGGGGCAAGTTGGTTGCCGCGACGATTCTTTCCCATAGCCCCACAGACCCGTCGAAGAGATATACAATTCGAAAATCCATCTATACTCTATGAGTCATGCCATTTCAAAATAATTAAAAAAAACACGCAAAAGGTGATATATTTGCTCTAAAAAAATAGTTTCAAGATTTTTTTATTATTATTATTATTTTATTTGTTATTTTTTTAATTGCGTTAGCGCCGCTTTATAGTGACAAAAATAACTAGGGCGGAAATGGCCGGCGTTTTCGAACGAGCGGCGCTAGAAAGTTGGGCCAACGTTTAGGGAGCGCGTCGATTGAACTCTCGCGACGATGACGCCGCTCTTTTGTCCCAGACGTACTATCGGCGCGCCCCGCGATAACTGCCGGGCTCCATCTATGTGTTTGACGAGTCTATCGCCCCTGTAAGTAAATCATCTATAAGGACTGTGAATAGGCGCAGCATCAAAAATCCCGGCTCCAAAAAAAAAAAAAAAAGGAAGCATTCTGTCACTCGGATTTTTAAAGGTTGTTTTACACATTTTCGTTTGAGTTTGATCGAGCGCTTTGCAACCACTTGGTATACCCGCGTACGACACAAACCACATTTGGGTCCTCTTGTCCGTAGGCCTGGAACACCTCCAAGCTTGCGTGTATATTTTATTAATTAAACGCCTAATTTTTTCACCCAGACTTGAAATAGTTTTGACAATGTTACAAGCGACTATTTCACATGGATAGCGCGTATATTTTATCTCGAAAAATACTAATGGACCTACGTTTCAGGTATACAGAGGTCGAAAGACGTTCAGGACAAGATGGCATCAATTTAAAAGTGCGTTAAACGGTTACCAGGGTACGGAACGCTCTCGAGCATTGTTAAACGCAAACGTGTCAACTTGATAGCTGTGCTTGACTTCACTGGGGAAATTTATGAATGGCACAACGGCATTCCGCTCGAACCCGTTAGGACGTTGCGAATATATGCTGTCGTCATGACATTGCAACCCTATATATATATTTTTTTTTCTGGAACAAACTACAGAAGTCTTAATCTGAACTTGACCCAAAAACGTGGTGACATTTTACAACGCATGGACTTTGATGTTTCTGTTTTGTCTTAGTTGTGCCCTTTTCACACCAGAACGACAAACCCAGATCTGTGTTCGCCAACACAACAAAATCACCTCATCATGCGACTAGAGCAACATTTGGAGCGTTTTTGCGTCTTCACAAACGAATTAACACTTTCTAGGGTGCCTCGGTGCCACGTTATCGAGGCACTCTGACATTTTACACATAAAGAAGACACCAAGCGGCGAAAGCTTGAAGTGCGCTACCTCTCCCGCTGCCTCCGCAAGCGAGGTAGCGCCAATTCCCTTCCAAACGCCAACCGTAGGTCAAGATTTCACCGCTGCGTCAAGGGTTCATTTGCACGCACTGAACTTTCCTCTCAAGGTCAATTCGGAGTCAGTTGCAACAAAACAGGACATTCTCGTCTTGTGTGTCTTTTTTTTTTTTTGTCTTTTTCTTTCCTGGTGTTTATTAGCGCTTGCTATCCTGCTACTTTCTTTGCTAATACCTATACAAGGTATACGATGTGTTTGTGGGCAGTCTATCTTTCTTGTAGCGCCAATTAGACAAGGCCCTTATAGTGCTCTTTTTATATTATACTCAATACAATACAGTACAGTGCAGTCTTCATGTCTTATGCCTTTAAATACATTACAGTGCAAAGCGCAGATAAACCAATAAGGCTCTCTTTCTGCCTCTCTCCTCTCTCCCTCTCTCTAACTCGCTGTTTAGTTTTCTAGCACGTTATCTCTCTAGCCAGGTAGTCGTGTCAAGTAGCTGTTAGCGATGAATATTACACAAACACGTTGCTTCAACTATTGTGTCGAATGTCATAACGGGTGTGACGTCGGTGATTCCGGTCGGTTACACAAGGGTCAAAAAGACATTAAAATGCTCTATTTTCTGATTGCTTACTTAATAACCTACTCCTGTTTGAGGAAAAAACCGTTCGAATCGGTTTTAGAATGCGATTTCAACCACGACGTAAATTCTTTCGAAATTTGAAGCATCCTCAAAAGACTTTTTTTTTATATGTCTGCGAGTTAAAAATTTGCCGTGGTATTAGCGTAAAAGATTATTCAAAAGACAGTCATGACATTTGGGATTGTGAAACATTAGAAATTGTGTCGTCTCATTTTTTTGCGGAACATTCTCGCGTGGTATTCCGAATGGTTGGGCAAAAAATTAGTTGGTCTAATCGTGTAAGAATTTCAAATTCTTAAATCGGCCAATTTCGAAAATATTTCGCGCATGCTTTCGAGTTTTGTCTAACTTAAACGGGAATCAGAAAAACGTAAATGTCGTTGGCTAAAGAAACAAATTATAATTCTGTTCTTATTTTTTTTTTCAGGTACATAACACTGCTTTTGACATTTTAATAACTGCATTCTCCAAAATTTTACAGTTTTTAGGAGTGTGTCCCAGTGCCTGGACAAAGTAACGGGAAGGGGGTGGGCGTCAGTCTGTTATCAAAGCAAAAAAGTGTATGTCTTTATCTTGCAATTCATATTTATTTATTTATATATTTGTTGGCTCGCCAACTGTCTGCGATATGCAAAATCGTTTAACAGCGCGAACTACCGTTTCAAAAGCCTTCATAAAGAAACAAACACGACAAGAACAAAACGAAATTTGGCGTTGAACGTTTAGTCAGCGAGATATACAGCGACACTCGCTTACGTTCTAGATGATAAATTCTGCCAGTTCACCATGACTGCCATCATGGGATACGTGCAGCACCTCAGACATATCCATAAAGGGCTGAGCAAAAATCAGACAAATGTACGGGACCTTTAATTTGTTATGCTTCATTGATCACGTTTATTTAGAATATTATTCCTCACTGAATGAATAGTCTTTGTCGTCTAAGTGTATGTGGTGTGAAACAAAGCTTACAACCCTCTTGCTGTGATGTCTTTTCAGCGATAGGATACTGCCCAGTCGGCGAAATAGACAAGCTGAAACCGCTGCCTGACCGGGCTCGAGAGGTGAGTGATCTATGATTCCCCGCACTCTGTCTAAAGTAAAATCATTCGTGCGTTAAAGGACAGATGGGGTTGCAGCCTTTTTCTTAGTCGAAATACAGAGAAAACACTTTTCTAGATATAGATATATTACGGACACAGCTGCACGCCTGCACTGACAATTGCTGGGTCGTTGTATATCGAAAGTATAATGTTGATAAAACGTTTGTTTTGTGCTTTAAAGTCTCATGGGAAATTATTGTAAACGGCGCTATGCTCCTGAAAGGGCGATATATTCCCACTAACGAATTTTTTTCGCAGTTTAATTCTTCTCGCAAATCTTAAGCTCCTTCGAAATTTGCAAGTGCCTGAGTTACGAATACAGAAACAAAATAATGTGTTGGTTTTACACGAATTTAACACTAACATTCCTATCAGGTTCCCTCTTTTTCATTTGCTGGAAACAAATCAAATTAAACTTATTTTCAGCACCTCCATTGGGAGTCTAATACACTCGCGGGTGTCCCGCGCTCTTCTTTTATGATATTTCATGAAGCAACATCCCCAGCAGAACACCGTAAATAAAAATGTGCAAATTTTACAAAATTGTGTTTTTTAGCATTTTTTATTGAATCGCTTACCGACATTATCATAACAACAAGGTCCGTTAGAAAGATTTCCTTAAAAACTTAGGACCCCCGCCTGTATGTACTCCGTATTATACTAACAACTACTTCTGATAAACAAGTAACTTTGACTTGGAGTCTCTCACTGATAGGCCCTCTGATAAAAATAAGGTCTAAATATTATGATTTTTCACATCAATCTATTAACATTATTTTTAGGATAAGCTACTTTTTGATTAGTATGCCGGGCGTAAGAAAGATGAGAACAGTGTAAGAGATGACATAAAGGTGGCGCCCCGCCAATTTCGGCCTTCAGTCAGTCTGCGACTGGAATGCTGCCAATCTGAGCGGGAAACGGTGGTGGCACCATCTGTTGATCGCTTCGTAAACTACGAAAGACATTTTCGTGGCATCTTAGATTGAGTGGTGCAAATAGGGAACTTGAGAATTTTTTTCGAGCCCGGAGTTTTGACTGGTTCTTCGAACCTTCGAACATTTGGCGAAATTGGGCAGAATGCAATTTCTTAAAGAGTGTAGCCCGACTTGTAATCATTTCATCTTCAGTCCAGACACAGCTGACGGTACGGGCTAATGAGACCGACCAAGCAGCGTCCGATTACGATTTGTCTAGCGGTGATAGAACACGTTGAGTCCCATCAGCTCGAAACATCGGCTGCATTTGGACTTAAGGCTAAAGAAACTATAGAAAACGTTCGGAATTTCGAAGAAGATATTACTTATGAATTCACCTTTTATTTAAGTCTCGTATAACAATAACTAATCTTCACACAATAAAAATAAAATATATTAGCTTCTAATTGCCCAGTTACTTACTTTAAATAAGATGAACCCCTCCTCTGCCAGGCAGTGGCGGTTCGTTTTTAATAGTCGACCTTCTGCCGAACTTTTGGTCAGACTTCAATTCGCAAGTTGGAAAATTCTCCTTGTCGGAGTAGAGCCTCGACAAGTTCGCAACATTTCTATAATCGATTACACGTTAAGAGTTCAGTGGAAGTTTCTTTCCACTTTAACAGAACGAACACTTGAGAGGACGCCACCTCCTCTCCGACGTCTGCTCTGCCAAAGAGGAAAGGGGTGGGCAGAGTTTCCTTTAAACTTTTAACCTGTCACCAACTAGTTACTGCAGCCTGAATCGACGAACTGACGACCTAATTTTTCTATGCGGCTCATAATGTGTCCAAACAGAAATTACAAAACTCGGTTTGCGCTGTTCGTAATTCCGCAAGAAACTACGTCTCCTTTCCGTATATGTGTTACTGTTACACGTGATGTACCTTTTGAAAAAGGTGTTCTTTAGTTCGCGGTGTAAAGCACTTGATTTGGGTGATTTACACCTGTGATTCACCACCTAATGTACCATTAGGGCCATTTAATTTCTTAGTGCGTGCCGCATATGTTTTGCTATTACTCAAATGGTCAATGGGCTCCAATGGTAGTTCTAGATTTCACTTGTTTGGGAAACCCCATCAATTGAAGTTCAACGGATTTCTGCCTAACTCTTTCGTTTCCGGTTGCGTAGAAACAAGATACTGAGGCCGCGAAATCGCATAGCGATAGGCGCGATGACTTATAAAAAAACTGAGCTAAGACGTTATTTTGGCGACCCCGCTTTTCTTCTCTTTCTGCGCTTATGCAGGTAAGAACCTTAGGTGTATCTGCTCAAATTCGCTATTATAGAAATCAAACGTATTCACATGTGTGAGCACTATATGTGTGGCTGTCCGCCTTTGCGTAAACAAATAACAGCAAATGCGCGAATTTCTTTTACATTTTTGCCATTTCGAACAGTCTGATGTATGTATGCCCATGTACACATTTGTATTATTCAAGCTATACTTCATTCCACACACCTTTCTCTCAAAATTTGCGAAAACCTAACACTTGTTTATATCGTTTTTTTATGAAGAAACTTCAAATTGTCTCATATTTCCCCTGACGTCGTGAGCCTTGCAGGCCGTCTTGAGGCTCGTCGATAGGCCATGATGCGCCCCTTCGGCATTTTGTTTTGCCTGATGGTATTTTTTTTTTAGAAATTACATAGGAGCTAGTATCCTTTCATTCCTCCTAAAACCAAGTATGCATCGAGATGTGCAAACTAAGATTTAAACGTTCAGTAAAATTACATAACGCGCTAATATCATTCAATTAATTCTGGATACGCCTTGCCTTCAAACAAGAGGTCTTGCCTTTAAAGGAAACTTTTTTGTGGCGTCATGCCCCCCCATTTCCCCACACACACACGCAAACGACGCTGCAGGGGGCTCTTGAGATGGCGCTATAGATTTATTTCACATAACAAGGGAGAAATTATAAAAATTTAAAATGGCAGCTGCGTGTGCAGCACAGGTGAAGAGCAGGGAGATAAGTCTTAAAACGAAGGTGTAAATGAACCATATGCTTTACACTTCGTAAATGAGTACTGCATTTTTTTGCACCCTAGGCTGAAAAGCAATTGACTACATACGGTGTATTGTGACTGTGGGGGTTGCGAAGCAGGTCAGAATAACATGGAAAAGTTGCTTCTGGATTCCGCAGAGTCGCATCCGGTGTTTTTCTAAGAAATTTTAAGAGAAGCTTCATTCGTTTAAAAGGGCTAAAAAGCCAATATCTTAGCAAAATATGGGCTTAGACATAACTCCTTCGTAGAGGGAGATTCTCTAAATAACCCTGAACGACTTACGTCTCTTATCCATCCGCCAAATGTTGTAAAAGCTCTGCCTCAAGGAAGCTTACGTTGCCTTCCTCCAGGTGTGAATTGCACGTGTGATGAGGTGTTGTAAAGAGCAGAAAGCATGCACTCGAGGCAGAGCATGCATCCACTGCATCCTTAACCTATCTCCAATCATAGGCAGTGCTCAAGAAACGGGTGTTTCCTGCTTTTTCTTTTTTTTTTATTGCATTCGGTTTTCCGTTTCAGTCGAAAGTGAGAAACAAAAATTGTTGACAAATCTACACGATGAAATCCGGACTCATTCTTCTTTTTGCAGTATCCCCCAGGAACGATCGTGAGCGCCATCTGTGAATGGATCGTGGTGTTGACGTTCCTGGCCTTCAGTCTGTCCTTCGCGGCAGAGTTCCGCAAGTTCAAGCTTTGCCTCCGACTGGAGTATCGTGACGTGGACGGGGTTGCAGCGCCGCTTCCCGTCAAGCCCGACGCGTCTCCGGAAAAGCCCGAGGCTCGAGACTGATCCCGTCGCTTCAACTAGGAAGAAGAAAGAAGGTCCAAAACTATTCTCCGGGGACAAAGACCTCGACGCTCGTCGTGCCAGTGGACGCGGGTATTCCCGTCCCACTTCAAAAAGCTGTGATTGTTTGCGTTTTCTTTTTTTTTTTTTCTGTTTGCACCTTTTTACTTTTGGCTGCGTTGATGTGTTGATACAGTCAAGGTATTTCCGCACATACACCACAGCGCTACCTTAGCGCTGGACATAGCGCTGTCATTGCTTGTGCAGCGCCGACTTCTCTCGCTATATTAGCGATACATAACTGATACACTGCTTTCTCGGTGCTAAGTTACGTTGGAGTCAGCGCTACCTTGGTGCTGTTTCTTGGGTTGATTTAGCGCTCCGTTGTGTGCACGAACAGACCTTTAAGTCGCGGTTACGCTGCAAATACATCATACTGAACAATTGGCAGCGACCTACCTTCAAAGTCCTATAACGAACGAAATACATTACAGGGAATTAATGAGAGAATTGGTGTGTCATGTGACGTATATTTTTCCGTCAAATTTAGCGGGGAAACTGGGCCGACGTGGAGGTCACGTCCCATCCATTTCTCCAAGGTGCATAAGTCTCGTGATGTCGGCTGACGTCACGAGACAACACTTTCCCGCCTAATTTAACGGGAAAACTGAATTGGTGAATTGGAGCTCCCTAGTAGGGAGTTTTAGGGAACTGTTCGAACTGTTCGTACACATCCGATACGGTACGATGGGCCCTCCGGTACAAACTGCGCGTATGGGAGTGTTCTGTGATAGCGCATGCGCAGTGCGTACCGGAGGGCCCATCATACCACATGGGACGTGCACAAACGGTTCCCTAAAAGTCTCTACCGTCTGAGGCGCGTTTCTTTGTTGGATGATACTCCTGTCACATTGGTCGTACAGAAAACTGTCTGCTTCAAACATGTTTGAGGTGTAGTTTGCAGCGAACACCGTGTATTTTTGTATGATGCGACTGTGGTTTTAGTACGGTATGTGTGATGCACGCTTCTTCACCTTTTAATTTGGCATAGGTTAGCGTTGCTGCTGTACGCGTCGCCCCACCCTCAGCTGTTTGCTGAAAGGTTTATGTTAAAAATTGTTAGAAGTTTGCATTCAAATTTTGTTACGTCGCGTAAATCTAGGGAATGAAACATCAGCAGCTCGATTGAACCGATTCATGTGAACCCCTTGTTTTAAACAATCGCGTTTTCCCGCAGCTGCTGCGAACAAAGCGCGTGTGCAGGAATGTGTTTTTTTAAGGCGGTAGCTTTATATGACCAACCAACCTCAGGGGCAGCGTAAGCGCGAAATGGGTAGGTCAGTCAGTCCGTAACCCCTCTAAACGATCTCGAAAAAAGACAAAAAAAAAAAAAAAGACAACCGGAACGAGGGATCGAATCCTGGTCGCCGGGGTGGAAGCCGAGTGCGCTGCTGACTGGGCTACGGACCCGGCACGCAAGAACAGTAGGAGCAGAAGCAGGTGGTGTGAGTAAGCGCGCTGAGCGGTGAGACGTGGAAAGGGCAATAAATAGGTGAGCAGAAACAGGTGGTGTAAAAAGAGTGCACCGAACCACGACGAGTGGAAAAGGCAGGAAAGCGCGCTTTCCCTCTCGGTTACCCAGAAAATTTGGCTCAAAGGCTTTGTATCTGGGTGGTGCTGAAGCGGAAGGGCGCACAGCGTCACAAAGAGACAGTGGTGTGATGTAATATTTTTTTCATGCAAAACCCTGCCCTAGGCACCACCTGAACTAAGAGCGCCACCCACCCTAGGCACCGAAAGCCTCGTGTCCTAGGCACCACTTGAGCTAAAAGCACCACCCACCCTATTCGCAACTTTCAGCAATGGTGGTACTGCGGTGTGAGAATCGCGCTCCCTAGCTCCTGGATGATTGGCCTCATAAAAAACGGGCTTTCCTACACCTTCCTTGCGTGAAAAAAGAAATAATGTAAGGCTCTAATGCTGCTCGTATATAGCAAAACTAGAATTACTTACGCGTCGCCTACCCAGCCTCGTACCTCTATTCTACGACGATCATCCAGATGACAGCCATTTTGATAGGCACCGGTGCGCCCCCTATAAGTCGTGAAAGTTGCGAATAAAGCAGGGGTCTCAAACACGCGGAACGCGGGCCCCATACGGCCCACGACTCTCTGAGATATGGACCGCAAGCACTCCGTGGTTGCGAGGTCCAGTTGCTATGCCTCGAGCACTCCATGCGCCAAAACTATTCACCTCTCGTTGTCCATTCAATTGCTTTGAAAAACATAGCTCTATTATGTATTAACATATCTGGCACTAATATGTTCCTTTTAGATCGAGGATTGTCTTCTCTAACATACCGTTAAGACACAAGTATTTTCTTATAACTCTGCTAGAAAAAGCAAAAACTACTTTACGAAAAGGCTTCTTTTTTTTTTTTTTTTTTTGAGTCATTGAATTTGGATAATTTCCTAGTGAATTTAGCGACATAGCAACGATTGTGTGCTTGGTTTCGAGTTCGATTAAATTCCAGCGTGCTTGCGAAGTAGGGGTCGCTGGAAGTCTCAGCTACTTTGGAACGTAAAACACCATCGCTATTTTTTTCTTTGGGTCTTAAAATGTAATATATTTTTCCCCGCCTTATGTTGGCCCCCAAACATTAGAATGGTGTTATATGGCTCCCGCACTCACATGAGTTTGAGATGAGCGCTATAAAGCTACCGCATTTAAACGCGTTTGGCAGAATCGATAGACAGCCAGATAATCTTTTTTTAGTGAGTCATGTGTGTAACGTGCGCTGTTGAACAGACTGCGCCGCCGCCTTGCGAGTGTCGTCACATGAACGAGTTTGGGTTTGGGATGACGCTCGAGTGAAGTCTTAGCTCTCTGCGATCATTTGTTGATTTATCTGTTTCAGAAACTGCCGTCTGCTTCTATATCGTTTATTGTTGTTGACCTGGTGACAGGCTGAGTGTTGTTAAAACGTGTTGATCTCATTGCTGTAGAATCTCTTGACGCTTTATCGAGGGTGGTACTGTTCCGCTAGAGAGGGAGAAAAAATGTTGCCTGAAGAGCTTTCCACACTGACGAGACGATCCCCGGGCTGTTACCGTCAGACATCAAGAACGTAAAGCGAAAGATTGTGTGATCAAAGTTCTAGTGATTTTCGTTCTACCTCGCTCACATTTATTATACTGCCTCGTTTCCGTCCAAACGAAACGGCTCTTATTGTTAACGTTGCGAAGCCATATAATTGTACCGATTCTTTTTTTTTAGAATGTTTTTTGTCGCGAATGTAATGCTTAGTCCAGTGCTCTCGTAGTGAATTGGGCTCACGTCATTTTCGCCTAGCGTGAATCGACCTTGAGTAAAAATCATCACTACCATCTTTTTCTTTGCGGTTGCACGACGATGTTTCGTCATTCTTCCGTTCACTATTACCAGCGCTTCGGCGGTAATGGCCTACAAGAAAGAATGGTGAGGAAATAAGGATGCTTCCTCAAGAATGCAGGCATTCCTTTCGTGCTGTCCCAGCCCCATGCACACGATCGGCTTGCAAGCGTCAGCGTAACACTCCCATTAGCTCCATAATAGAATTCCTCTGCCATGTCGTTTGAAGTCGGCAGAGATTGCGCGAGAACGCAAGCACGGTGCGTTTGGTTTCCTTGTTTGGCGAACTGAAGCTTTAAATGTAAGTTCTTTCGGAACTGCGTGGGTCCGATCCATAACCTATTCATTCTGTTGCTATGCAAGCTACTTGATCCACTGCAATTACTGAAGGGGTGAGAACGGCAACAAGGTCCTTTGGTGTCCCCGCCTCCAGCGCGAGTCTCCAATGTTCCCTAAGGATTCGCCGTCTCGTGATCCTCACGAAAGCGTGACGTGGACCCAAAGCACGATAAAAGGCAACGCGTGCGTTCTGGACGTCGGGTATCTAAAAGAGGCATCCTGTCGTACCCATCCTGTCGGTGGCATAGCATTGTGGATTTTGTATCATACGTCGTGTAGGACTCACTCCCATTCAGAGCTCTCTAGGTTAAACATACTTTTTGCTGACTTTCGGTGCTCTAAATCGCTTCACACTTCCGCGTGTGCGACCAGCACCACTTAAAAACGAGGCTTTTGCACCGTTTTCTTACCACAGTCCTAATATTACTCTGTGTTTGGACACTGTTGGCTTCTGGCGGTGCCGACAAAGTCGCGTGAATATTGTAACATGTGCGAGGGGGAGCGAATGTACATTACAGGATCATTATTGTGATGTCATGAGGGAACCGGACTTTTCAGTATCTCATGTATTGTCGGTGAATAATTGAGAGTGCAGGACAATCTCCTCCCATAAAGGCTTTCACTCTTTCCGCTTTATTAGAGCAAAAGCTGGTCAGGAGGTCAAGAGTGACTCGCCTCCTCAGCGTTCGCTCTGCTAAAGTCGGAAAAGTGGAGGGTTTTGCGGAAGAAGCTTGTCTTGTGCTCTTAAGACCGACCACCAGACTCGAGATTCTGCAAGGCAGAAGATCCTCCTCACCATGGGGGACGTGGAAACAGGCAACGGTGGACAGGGTAAAAGGGGGGAGAGGAGGAAACGGAAGGAAAGTGAAAAGCGCGAACTGGTCGTCGGTCTTTAACCTGCTGCCGACTGTAGGTGGTATTGTTCCAACTGGCTCGAAGGAGCCTGGTTGTTTGTTCTGGACAAGTGGCTTACTGCAAAAAATTTCTCGGATCGCAAAAAAAAAAAAACTTTTTTGGTGAACAAAATTTTTCGTATATATGTCGCCATGGAAACTGGTGCTAGTGAGAGGCAATTTTGTCAAAGGGACCATGAAATGACCTTTTTACTTTTGCCAGATAACTGTTACATTAAACCGTCAATGTTCACTGAATGCCGAACGGGCATCCGTTTTCGTCTCGGTTTATTAACTTCTACACAAAAAATTAATCAAATATCGACTTTTTCTTTCTCTCCAACTGACCGCAAAACAAGCTGTGGCGTAATTTTGAAGGTCATGACGTACCCTGTTTCCGGAACCGGAAGTTCTCTCGGCAGTAGGAGAATGGGAGCGTTAGCGGCAGTTAGCGGCGACGAGTTGGCGGTGTGCCGGTAGGTTTTACTGCGCTGATGGCGCGGATGTCACCGATGTATTTTCTGAATCGGCGCCTCTCATCGCCGCGATAGCCATGGACACATCGCAGCCGAGCGAGATTCAATTAGATATGTTGCGCTACAGCGACAGCATGGGATCCCATACGCCGGTATGCCTGTTGGGAAGTGCGGCGAGTCTTCCGGTGAAGGCTTCAGCAGTCAACCCAACTGTCATCGTTGGTAAAAGGCTTCCCGTGTCAGTCGTTTGCAAAGCGACGTAGATAGAGACAAATGGCCGCGGCGTTTTTCGCGGCCTCGGAGATGCAGGAGCGAGCCGTCGTTAAAAAAGATACATTTGAAGTGCGAGAGTGTCAGCAAGACCCACGTAAATACCCCTTCACACTCGGAGCGGACGCGCGCGTTTGATGAAAGTGCTGTACTCGCGGTGTTGGTAAGCGCTTCGGGACCGATCTTTTACGATTGCAATTCGATACTGAAGTGACACTCGGCAAAGGAAGGTTGGACCGGCATTGCACGTAGCTCCCACGAACTGTTATAGCTCGACAGTGACGTGCAGTCTGTCAGAATAAAAATTGCATACTAATAACAAAGTGTACATACCGTGTTACGAGGGTAATCCATACGGCGTTTAATTGAGCTCCATATCACACAAAACAAGAAGACAGAATCGACGAGAGTCCCTTTTCGACGACAGTGTTCGTCAGCACTGCCTCGGAAAACAAGGGGAAGAGATTGACCTCACCCCTTAATCTAAAATTGAGGACAGCGATCATAATACGGGAAGGGTCCACAAGGGTCGCGCGGGCATATTCCATTCAGCACGCCAGCCGGTCGTGGGCAGACGGTCTTGGCCAAGTACCGTCGAAGCAACGCTGCGCCGGAGTCGGAGTGCCTGCTTTAGAGTGCCTGCTAGGCCTATCTGCCGAGCTCGCTTGGTCGCGGGTCGGTGAATTCGTGGCCGTTCTGGCTTTTCTCGGGTGTTTGTGGATCCAGCGTTCTTGTTCGTCGCAGTTTGTTTCAAGTACTCTTTTCTTGCTGCTTGAAGTCGGGACGCGCGAGAAGAACACGTAGAAAAATAAACGTTCCTTGAACGTCGCGGCCAAGTAACTGAGCCCAACGCTGTTTGGCCCGTCGGCCCTACCGCCCCTGCTTCGTTTACCACACGATAGATGGCGCTTAGCTCTCAGCATTATCAAATTTGGCAATTTTCGTCACATCTCTAATGCTACAAAATGTGGATCTGAATATTATTTAACAAAACTTTTAGGAAACATTCGCCGGCTATTTATTGTTTACGATCGCGGTGCTGGTGAGGTAGGCTCTTACCCAATAGGCGACGTGGATTTGGCTGACGTGCAGCGATTCCGCGGATGCATCGCAGTGAAAAGGCAGAGAGCTTTCGAAGGAAAGAAGGCGCAAAAGAGTCCAGTTTTTTTTTTTTTTTAAAGTTCTCTAGCGAATAATTTTTCATGGCTCCCTATTTTTGTGTTTTTGTGTTTCTTTTCGCACCTTTTACGACTTGCGGTGGATGAAATTCGATTTTAAAATCATTTCATGGTCCCTTTAAAGAAAGTGCTTTTTTTTATTCTAATGCCTGGTGCAAGATAACTGGACTGTATTTCTCAATGGCAGTCTGCCGAGTTATTTTTATCTGTCCGTTTTGTGCCTTATACCTTCTTGTGAAAGAAAGCGACCATAAATTTGCGAAAGCGGTACTGCCAAGTATGCTCGTCGTATTCGAGCTTGCGGACGTCCCGTCAAAGACGCGGTCTCGTTTTGCAACAAGGTTACATCATTCACCTTTTCGGCATTCGAAGCGCTTCTACGCTTAATGATGTAACACAAAGGACGAGGAGGAGAATACCTTTCCTCGAGAACGGAGGCATTTCTTTGGAGCTTTTCTTCGCTCACGCACGGTCACCCTGTAAGCGTCCGCGTAAGCGTACGATTTTCGTGTGACTCGCTGTCGGGGGAGGTAGGGAGGGGGGGGGGGGGGGGGGGTGCGGGGAAGCTATAATTTGGCTCCTTTGATTTCTTTGTTCGAAGATCGAGAAGATACACGAGACATCTCAAGGGTTATGGAGCTCTTTCCGGGATGCACGGGCGCTATCACGTTGCCTCACAAGATGATGTCCTGTCGCGCGCGTTCGTGATTAGACTCACTATATACACCAACTCAACTCCCTGACGCCACGTGGCGCTGCTGTCGGCACTGGGCATGCGCACACGCTTCACTTCACTAGAATCTGGTTTCTGTGCACCTGCACAGCCCACACCTAATGTGGGCAAACGCTGATTTGTTTCTAAAGAGTGTGTTGCTCCATAAGCTACAGTTCTGAGCAGTGACACTTCCGCCATCTTTAAGTTCATCTTGAGCTTTTTTTGAAGTCGCGGAAATCTGTTTTCAGTCCCCACAAAATGTTTAAAAAAAGGAGTCTGCGACCGAGCAAACCTAAATCGGCCGAGCCTCCTGGCAACGTGTACCTGAACCTCAGGAAGTCGCATTTTAAAATACTTAACTGTCGCGGCAATGCGCCGCTTCATACTATACGTACGAAAATGGCAGCGCCCACAGGGGAAAAAAAATCTCGTAATTGAGTGCCGTTTTTTCAGCATGGCTTATCTAGTGACCATCTACTGGTGAGGACGCGGAACTCGTTAAAGGGTGGCCCTATCCTGCATTTGCCTCTCATGATGCTGGGCACAGTAAGACATTTTTCAAAATGTCCATCCAGCAACATTGGCGGTCGCCATTACTTGAGCACGAAGTGCGCGATTGTATCCCAGTTCTCGCGGAACGCTGACGCCGCAGCCCCTGTGTCCAATAATACATGCCCAGACTACGCGATCAAGCAGTGGCGGATGGGCGATATGGCGTGGAATTTTGAAATGTGGAGATTGACTCTTTCGAGACACTTAAGCAAGAAACTTAAGAAACGTCGGACGTGGTGAGTACCCAACATATTATTATTATGTTTTCGGAGCCAACGAGACTGTGGCATCACTCGATAAAAGCGCCGAAGAGCGCGACTCACGAAGCAAGAGGCGTGAGCACAATAGGCCACGCCTTGGCGGTTCTTAAGCTGCCAATAATTATGAAACTCTGTACTCCGTTTCGCCTCAAGTAAAAGGGCAGTTTTTGTAAATTGTTCATGCGCCACGCGAAGTAGTTCTTACCAAGATTTGGTTTTCGGAGGAAGAAGAGAAACTTTCGACGGTATGGGGGGGGGGGGGGGGGGGGGGGGGACGTCTACGTTCATATTAAAAATAGCGCAAAAGAGACGGGACAAAAAGACGAAGAAGCACACAGGACAAACGCTAACTGGCAACTAAACTTTATTGAAAGCTTCCAACTTTGCTATCGCCGTGCACGTGCTTAGTCTCGTTCAACAGAGACAGGGCGTACCGCCAAATCCGCACAATCATACCGCCCACCGCCCTTTCCAAAAAGTCAGCAAAACAGCTACATCACCCCGCCGCACAATCCGAACGAGAAAAGAATAGAAAAAACGCCGCGTTAATATTGTCAAGTTAGATAGTGTTAATGAAATGGTACTCTTTCTGCTGCATATACACCGATGCGACGCTTATGCAAACGTCAAAGACGTTTGCATAAGCGTCGCATCGGTGTATATGCAGCAGAAAGAGTACCATTTCATTAACACTATCTAACTTGACAATATTAACGCGGCGTTTTTTCTATTCTTTTCTCGTTCGGATTGTGCGGCGGGGTGATGTAGCTGTTTTGCTGACTTTTTGGAAAGGGCGGTGGGCGGTATGATTGTGCGGATTTGGCGGTACGCCCTGTCTCTGTTGAACGAGACTAAGCACGTGCACGGCGATAGCAAAGTTGGAAGCTTTCAATAAAGTTTAGTTGCCAGTTAGCGTTTGTCCTGTGTGCTTCTTCGTCTTTTTGTCCCGTCTCTTTTGCGCTATTTTTAATATGAATGTCCACTACCAACTTGCCCAGCAGACCAAGCTTTTACAAGACGTCTACGTCTTGATAAGATAGCATATTACTAATCTAACAAAAGTCCGAGGACACCTTACCACTTCTTATAAGTTGTGAATGCGAAAGCATGAATGTCGTTCTTCCGCCCCTTTAGTCCGTCTGAAGCTACTGGCGTGGACGGCCGCGTTTCGCTAATGCCGAAGTTGCGGCCGACGGCCGAGCGCGCGCTCTCGTGAAGTGGCCGCGCCGCGCTGAGCTCGGCCGTGCAGCCACTCCGGAGTCTGCCCGCTCGGGCTCTGCTGGCTCGGCGGCCGGGCCGCTGCGCCGCCATGGAGAGGGCTTCTCTGGGGGCGTTACTTGAAACTACGCCGCGCGAGATGCAATGGGAGCCTCGTGCCTTGAAACTATGACGCGCGCCAGCCAATGGGAGCCAATCCATCAGATTGCTGCTGCAGACGACACGCTGCGCTCCATTGGGACAGGGAGTGTATAGGTGCCGTTTGGCGCGGCTTCAAAAGCTGATAACGCCGGTTCGCTACATGGGACAGTTAATGATTTCGCATTAAAAATTACCAAGTATGTCTCAACTACCAACATAATGGGGAAGTTTAGTAGTGCTCAACGAGGGGTCGCACTTTTTATACCACGGTTTTTGAGGGGAAAACGAGTAGAGCTCTAGTTCGTTAGCTGTACTCTTAAACGGGAGTTCGGCCCTTCTGTGCACCATATGCAGCCCAACGTATTTATTTAATAGCGTGGTGAGCTTGAAAAGTTCGAAACTCGAAATGTCAATCGCAGCATCCAAGGGCTTCGAAATTTGTTCGTGGTTTAATGGCGCGTTGTCAACGGAAAAGAAGCAACTCCAAATCTGGGCTATTTTCCACGAATGACATTGATTAGTATTCATTTCAGCCTTTGGGCGCTTCGAAATATTGTGTTTCTTAAAACTGATGGCCGGCCATTCACGGCAAAAGTAGCTTTTTGACGACGAGAAAAACAGACTTTCCACTCTCGTGAAGAAGGAAGACCAGCGGAGCTGTACTCTATGCACTGTGTGTGCTGCTTCTTAGTCGTCGTCTGTTTTTCGCGCTGTTTCCTACAATGAATTCCCACCAACGCGCCCAACTATCCATTCCTCTATAGACCCTTTCCGAAATTCAGTCTGGCCACTTTAATCACTATCATCATCTGTGGAACGGCATCTGTGCCATACCAATGGCGGCCTTCTAGTGACTGACAAAGGAAGACTGAAGATGCTCCTAATCAAATCTTGCGAGTCCTGTACATTCAGGGGGTTAGTACGACGCGACGTAGGAATGGAATACAAAAGCTATATACGAAAGCGTTTATTTCTAGTTACTCAGATTCAGTCAATGTGTGGGGGGCACGCAATCGGCTTAAAGCACTTTGGTGTATAGAATTTTTTGAAGCATCTGAGTGGGTTCGAGCTTTGTTCTGAATGCAGGTTCTTGGTCACCATCGAACTGAAAGTGATCGAGAAAGAACGCACACTGAAATATTCCTTGCGTGCCGTTGACTTGCGAAAGTCACGGTGCCGATACAAGTTCATTTCCGCCATTGATATGGCAGGGAGGCACTCACTTGATCGAATGACGTTTTAGCGAACGCCCACGTTTCATCGAACGACACTTTAGCGAATAGTCGGACGCCGCGAAGCGGCGTTTTCGGGTGGGCCAAGTGAGTTCATATTTTTGTAATGAGTTGCCGCAGACTGTCGCCGCGAAGCGGCGTAAAGCGCAGCGCGGCGGATGGGTTAACGCGCGCCCCCGTAATTCGCTAAAACGACCATTCGCTCAAATGTCGCCGTTCGCTAAAATGTCATTCGCTCTTGTGATATGGACCCGATATGGCAAAACCTAAACTGCTTTACAAGCCACCAGATGGCATTGAATTTCGAAAAGGGTCTATTATAGCTGGAAAGGTTGTCGCCATCTACGAGCGACGGCGGAAACCATACCGGTTGTGTGCTTGCCGCTGTCGCTTATAGATGGTGGTAGCTGTCCAGGTAGGTTTGTGTCGACATACATAGACACGATCCTGGGGAACCTAGCCCTTAACAGCTCCGCTCTAAAAAAACTTGGGAGAGGGCCAGATTTGCGCTCAATTACGTATCACGTTACTAGAAGAGCTGTACTTGGAACTGGTATGTTGTAACAAAGAAACATCTCAGTTACTTTCCCAGAGTAGGCACGACGGTATCACAATGTCATTACTTTTTGACTGAATAATGATTAACGGTACATCGTTACGTTTTTTTGTTCTTGTGTTCTTTTTTTTTTTTTTTGTAAAAGGTGTGCAGGATTAAACTTTTTTTCCTTCCATTTCACCTTGTGAAAGGGGGGGGGGGGGGGGGGGGGGGGAGGGTCCTGCAGGGCGCCAGATGGATAATTAAAGGAACACTCGAAGCATAGCTTCGCTGATCGCAAAAATCATTGACCGTCCATTCTTCTTAACAGTTTCACATCGGCGGCCTTGAAATAACTTTACCAGGAGATAAAAGGAAAAAAAAAATACGAGGTTTGAAGAGTTGATTTTTCGTCACTTTCTTTTCTAGTTTTGTAGATTCGTGTTCTCCACACTTGGATGTGAGGATCGTTGCTATCCTCTAAACAGAGCTATTTTTAGTGTAGCGTGCGCAGGGCATTGATTAGGTTTACTGCCGTGCCTCGCACCTATGGGATCCGGTAAAGAAAAACTAAAACCGGTAAACTCGTTTGAGCGATATCGCACAAATCATGGTACGAAGCTTTCGAGGTTCGTCTTTTTTTATGGTTTTTCGTCCTAATGTTAGCTTTTTGTCCGTTTTTTTTTTTTTTTTTTTTTTTTTTAACCCAATTGGCATTGGAGCTGTGTAGTGCGCTCCTAATATCCAAATTCGTGAATAAAGCTATCTTACAAAAATGTAGATAAGACGGCAAGTTTTACGTGACTGAATTCTGAAGAAAAAGAAAGCAGTTCTAAGCAAACTAGACTACAAAAAAAAAAAAAGAAAGAAGACTTTAAATTAAATGTTGTTTCGCAAAACAAAAAAAAATGGTGCGGGAACATATTTGAGCAAACTCTGATAGTGGTGCGAAAAAAAAGGCATGTGATCTATTAATTGAAACTCCAATAATATTTTAGTAAAAATAGGCGTAAACCATCCAGTATCATTGCAAAAAGAAAGAGGAAGAGAGAAATTAAATGATGGTTTTGGAGAGATTGGCAGCTTTAGAAACGTTGCAAGATGACAAATTATACGGGCAAACTGTTTAGAAAACATCATACTTTGAATCCTCAGAGAAGGACGAATAAAATAAGGGAAAACACGTGTTGTTTAACAAACCACACGTGACCGGAAATACTGAAGGTGGGTAAAAAAAGAAATATTTCACCTTCTAACAAACAATCAAAAAAAGAACGAAGAGGCCTCGGCCGGCCATTTTAGATGTACATAAATGGTAACCTTTCTGACGTCTCCGCCCCTTCACCTGCAGAGACAGAACTTCTTGTCTCAAATCACAAAAGACAACGGCAACACCATTTTCATATGCCTGCTTCGCTTGACAAAGCCGAGAGAGACCATCGCTGAGTCACTGGCTAGAAACCTGAGCAATCGCAGCATGTCAATTCAATGTTTGCAGGCTTTTGTGCGCAGGCAAGGCAGGTGCTTACCACCACAGCAACAGTAACTCCCGTTTGATCATTAAAATTAACACCTCATTAATGTTCAAACGAATTGTTGTCTCGAAGATAGTTAAAAAACGAACGAACAATAGGCACTCAGAACTTTAAAAAAGGCAGCGACTGCTTCGGTATAACAACGCTTTAAATTTAACGAAAAGGTGATGCATTACTTTTGAGTTCAAGTAAACGGTTCTTTTCGAGCCATAACAGGAAACATACTTAGTTACTTTTTTACCATGAGACGAGTGAGGGTAAGTACACTTCGTTTCAGCATAGGTCACGGAGCACTCAAAAGGTAGAAGAAAAACACATACACACAGACTTAAAGTGCAAGGTCATAGCTTATTCTACAGGGTTGATTGGTTAAGGGGGATGACAAACGCACAGGAAGACTATGAACACTGTACCATATGACGAAGCTCTTTTCGCACTGCTTGATTGGCCCCATTGGCTCGTAGTGTTGACCGCGCTCAGACTCGAGGGGAAATAAAGTATCATAGCTTTTTATCAGGAATATGTGCATGTCTTAATGAAACACATGTTACAACTGCGCACGCGCAGTACCGACCGAAATGTGGCCGCATACCGGGGGCAGCAAGAAACTTTTTCGCTAAGCGAGAAGCCCACTTTCATTGTTGAAGCCTTGACGAGAGTAGTGGGCAGTGGGCACTGGGTCGATTTTCCCGCCGATATCAACGCCGGCGACGTCACGAGGTAAAAGCTGGAAAGTTAGACAAAGCAAACGGCAGATGGCGCCAGTGAAGCGTGGCAGAGAAGAAACGTTGCGGCCCATAAACGCCAACGGCGTAGCAGATAACAAAACAAAACAAAAGGTGGAGGTCTGACGGGGAAGCGTATCGACCTTGACTTTTCGTGAAAATGACGTTGCGAGCGCGTCATCTTCCGGCGGAACCGGCTTTTGAGCGTGTGAAAACAAAACACGAGATGCCGTCTGACCAGTTTTTTTCTAGCCACTTTAACGGCGGACGCCCGTTGCCCCGAAGGCCCGGCGACATGGCGGCACGGTTTCATTGAAGACTGCAGCAAGAGCTTTATCCATCGCTGAGGTAAATAGTCCTCTCGATTTAATGCATAACCTGCATTCGCAGAAGCGTAGCGAAAGTTTCGCCGAACACGTTGAATGGGGCACGAAAGGATTTGTGGACTGTCATTAGCTGTATTGTGACAGCAGGTTTTCTTCTGGGGAGCTCTATATGAAAGATGCGTTTTGCGACGCTGTCATGGCCGGCAGCTCTGTATGAAAGATGCATTTTGCGACGCTGTCATGGCCGGCCGCCTTTGTGGTTTCATGCTTTCTTCCAAACAATGAGAAGCTGAGAGGAAACGCTGGAGACGAAAGTTATGGGGCTAGCAGGTTGAATTAGATCATATCGTAAGATGATCATGCGTGTTGTACGTTTGCACTTTTTCCTTCGTTTTTCTTTTTTGTACTGAGAACGTTTTAGTTTTATTTTTCTTTGAAGAAGGAAGTAATTTCCGTACATCTGAAGTAGGGTACTGTTATTTTCTTCGTCGTGAAAGCTATGTGCGCTATGCTTTGAACTCTAGTATAGGAAGGAAAATGTTAGAGGCATTACGTGCTACATCGCGTTGTCACACAGATAGGTCTGCATGCATTTGTGCTCTTTATTGAAGGGCCGCTGCTAGACAAAGCCTGAGCAATAAATGAAAATATGTACCATTTACATCTCGAATAAAAGCATAAAGAAGCAACAAATCCAAAAGCTGACAGAACCTTGCTACCAATTTTGAAATGAGCGATGCTATATGCCCTACGTAGTGCACTTTGGACGGAAATTGCTATATGCACTACGCTGAGAGCTCATGCCGCTGGGGCCACCCTTTTTCGAACTGCGCGTGTATCACTGGGGAGCTCGTTAACCCAGCCCCCCGCCTGCGTTCACGCCGCTTCGCGGCGACAGTATGCGGCTGCTAATTAGAAAAGTTAACCAGTACACGCCGCTTCGCGGCGTCCAGCCGGCAACCCAAGCCCCGCTGTCCCCGATCTGCGAAGTCTGCGAAGTTTCGTCGACAACATTCGGTGTTTTTTTTTTTTTTTTTTTTTTTTTTTGTGTTCATCGCAAAAAAGAAATATAAATATCGCCAAATGCCTCGTCAAAACAACGTTCAAGAAAAAAAAAAAAAAGGTAGCATTACCGCGATTCGAACCTGCGTCCACTTGCGTACGAAGCGGTCATGCTATCCCCTACGCTATGCTTTTTTTTTTTTTTTTTTTTGGATAAGATTCATTTATTTACAAAGTAAAAAAAATGGGTGAGTCGGCGGCTTGCGACTGCCCCATGAGGTGTAACAGTTCCGAATACATTCACAGTCACATACACTTGCATGGTCAGTACAATTCAACAGTGGGCCAAAGAATAATAACAACCGACAATAGTAACACAGCACTTGTTTTCAGTGACTTGTTATGTGGTCATCTCGTTATTTTTAATCGGGATTTAAGAGTTTCCCAAAAGTCGCTTTCAGGGAACTCTATCTCCTTAACTGAAGAGGTGACATAGTTAATTCCTTGAATCAAATACCTCCATGCGGGTTGACCACCTTCTCTTACCAGAGTGTGATCCGTACGAGAACTCCAAATTGCGTGTAATCCAATTAGAGTTAATATTTCAAGGCTGAGGCTATGCTGTTGCTTCCCGACATCTAGAAACTTCATGCTACGCCATGTAGGATATAAAGAAATTCCTGCTTCCGCTCGCAGCTTGGCCCAGAATAATTCGGCATTCGTGCAATACAAGAACGTGTGCTGCAGCGTCTCGGCAAAGGGGCAAATGACACAGTTTGTTCCCCATGGGAGGAAAAAAACCTTTCTTTTCCTCCCAGGTTTTCACTGGTAACACTTCCATGTGAAACCTTATAAAAAAGACTTTAATTCCCTGCCGGACAGGGTACCTCCTCAGCCGCTTGAAGACATCGGATCCGTTCGCTTCTGCAGTAAAGCCAGATCGGTAGAGGGGCGGCGGCATAACTAGGTCAATCGTGTCCCAGTACAAACGTTTCCTTGTCACTTTACTTAAGTATTCCATTGAATATCTATTTTCAAAATACTTCACCGCTTCTGCTATCTCTTTATAGTATCGCAGAACGGGTGCCTTCTTTACTGCATCATCATCAACGTTGACGTCCATCCACGAAGAGAGATAACGCCCTCCTAGCGAGCGCAGTACTGCGGCGGATATCGGGGCTTCCTTGTCTCGGAAAAGCAGAAACCGATGCACTTTCAACTTAATGTCAAAATTAATTAGCCCTAGCCCGCCTTTGTGGAGGCTGATCCCCTACGCTATGCCATCGGTTGGAAAACTCGTTGTGATCATTCATTTTATACGAGACAAACGTAGTGCATATAGCAATTTCCGGCCGAGCTGCACTCCGGAGTGCATATAGCATTACTCTTTTGAAATAAATCATGGGCGGCACACTGTTACTTTCCACATGAAAAGAAATGCTGAGCACTTCAGAACGCGTTCTCCGCGTTAGCGCTCTTACTGCCTGGCCATGGCTGTAGCTTTCGCCGCTTGCCAGTTTGCGGTGACACGATGCAAACTTCGGAACAACCATACCATGACCAGGTAAAAGGAAACATCAAAAGGTTCTTGAAAAAAAGTATTTGTTTGACTTAAATTCGATTCCTTTTATTTAAATAAGATTAATTTAATTTTGAATTTTGAGTTTTATTGCTATATGACTCCTTAAATATGGTAGATCTGTCCAACCATTGAAGACAACACAAAAAAAATAATTACTTTAAATTGAAAGCGCGGCCTAATTAACGATATTTTATTCATGTAAACCCCGCCATACTCCAACAAAAGCTTTATTTTTTTATTATTCTACGTTGCGGTTTGTTTCCTATAATGTCGCTGACCAAATATGAGAAAGGTGGAACAAAAGCTTTACGTTCTGACTGATTTTCTCAGAAAAGCACCGCCTTTTGCTGGTGTTCATCGGATATAAATATTTCGTGGTTGGTTCTCTTTTATTCATGTACAAAACAAATGCCCACATACAACGTAAAATTATAAACAAACGCGGTAAATAAAAAAAAATGTTCAGGAATACTTTGTGGGAAAAGTTGGACTTCAGTCATCATAGGAAAACAGGTGCGATTTAAATCACCTCGTTTTTCTTTATTTTCCACCCTGACCGTGGCCGTCTTGGTTCAAGGATAACACGACAAAGGCAGCCAACACCTCGTGCGAGGACAACACCACCTAGAATAGTCAAGGCCTGGGAACATCCTCCTTTCCCTTCAGGGAACATCATCACAATGGGATGTCGTCAGCCCAGCCGACGGACCCGAACCCGATGCCTAGTGTCCTTCGACACGTTGATTGGACCCGAGGCTCAGCCGAACGCTGACGCTGCACTCGTGTTTCAATCCGCGTCTTTCCTCGATCTCGCTCTGATAACGGCAATATTCTGGTGCACAGGCTTTGCTGATCTTAGGTGGGTGTTGACAAGGGCCAAGAAAAGCTTGTCCATACTCTGCAAGTGGCGGCTTGCTTTCTTGTTATTTCGCAATGAAAATAAACATAGTGCGTCAGGAAGCGATGAGTACACAACCTTTAATATCCGCCGGGAGCGCGACGCTATACACCGGCAGGTGCGGGGCCCTACTGCCTGGGTATAGGACACGGTGCCACCGTACTGGGCGGCCATGACTAACCCCGGCCCTGCCGCACATGTTTCACATCCTGCACGACATTTGCGCGGGTGACTAAAAACCTGAATCTTCTTTTTTTCCTCTGCATATCGTACATCTATAGCCTTTGCTTTAAGCCTCCCGTCTCCTAGTTTTTGGTGTCTCTAGTGATTCGTCCGGCGTCAGGTCGACGTCCAATACGCATCCTGTCACGAGCTAAAGACGAGACTTTTGGTGAACAAGATAGATGAGAGGTAATACATATATTCAATCATTCTTTTAGAGTGCTAACCTCTGCTTGGTCGACCAGGTGCATATACGGTTGGAGGAAACGAAAGGTGTGGAGCTCCGCGGTCCTAGGTATCGTCTCATCCTATGGTCAAGACGGCACAGCCATGATCCGGGAAACTCCTGAAGGCTACGTGTGCACGAAGCTGCACTACGTACCCATCGTCGGCTTCCTGTGTTCCCTCCTCGCCATGTTTGTGCCATACTGCATCGCTGTGTACGTCGGGGACGTCCCCGCCTTCTTGCCATTCATCAGGCAAGTGGCAGTCTTTCAAAGCTCGTGCGTATAGGGAGTGTTTTGAGTAGCTAAATAATCATTCTTTCCGTTCATCAAATATGGACAAAATTAAGTGTCAGCAGGTGGCACATCATTGAACTTCGGTCGCTGTGCTATGTGAGCGAATGTACTGACTCTCTCCTGTCTTTTTCCATCTCCCTTTACCCCAAAATGAACAACGTATAATAATTTCTAGATGGTATGTACAATGTCTAATGTTATTTGTACCATACTTTCTGTTTAATTACTCTTTTTAACATTACTCGCTCTCCTCAAGCGATCTCATTTAGTAATTTACTCACAAATGGTCAAACATTCTATGCACTCTATGCAAAAAGTAAAAAAAAAAAAAAGTTTCTTTCTTCCTGTTTTTTTATTTTTTTATTTTTTTTTATTTTTAGCATTAGAGGGACGTTTGGCACAGTTTGTTTTTACGAATGTCGTATCGCCTCGCAATTGCAAAAGAAAATCTGTTCTCTTCTCTAATAACGCAAAAGAAACAATTTATAGAAAGGAGACATTGGCTGACATTATAACGGCACCGGCTACTCTTCTGTAATTGAGAATAATTAGTGTTTGTTCACTTGACAGTTCACAGTTGTTACCTAAACGAAGCACTGCAAAGAACACCCTGTAAGACACTCCAAAGTATATCAGTACGCTATTTACATTAGGGTGCTATAATTTCTTATGCTTTTTACATAAACTAATTAATACATTCATTGCTCTTGCACTTACTTGTATACTCTAACTCACTAGATCAAATCAAATTTGTTCAGATCTCAAGTTCCGACGTGGCATATTTAGCTTTTATGATCTCAGTTTAATTAGCTCTACAAAACAGGAAATTATACTCTTTTATTGATTAGTTATCAAAGAAAGGTGGTGGAATCTGCTTCTAAAATAGAGTTTTCCCTACTTCATTGTATTTTAATTGAAGTGTAGGTTTATTGTCCTGGCCTAATTTGCAACTTTCCTTAAAGTGTTGTCTTTTTTTAAGCACATTACCGACAACAGTATTTCTACCAGCAATAAATGATTGTATCTACCAATTGCCTCTCTAATAGGTGGTATTGATTCGTCTTTCTGTGTCGCGCAGTGATCATTTTAACTGACCCCACGAGGAAATCGGATTGTTTAATGTTGTAAAATGTTTGCAATTTTCATCTACAGCGATGTTGGCGGTGATCCACCTCAGAGCATTATCTTTGGCATTTTCTTCGGCATAATGAGCTACATAGGTAGGTATGTGCGATGTGTGATGCGTATATTTCTTTTCCATATATACCTTTTCTTCGTTTTATTCAGCATTTCACGTGAGATCAAATGTCTGAACAGGTATGTGCACGGTTCTGTGTCGTTGAGATGTTCGGGTGCGAACAATAGTTAGCATTGAACTGCGAGTGTTCGACGATGAAGGCCAATCTTCCACTTCCAAATTAATCAATTCGCCAAAAGAATTGCTCGGCTTAGCTTAACTCGTAAACTTTATTGCAACAACAGTACGCTGCGTGAACAACTCATTTCATTCTCTTTTTATGTCTCCTCTGATGTCGATCACAATCCAAAGCTGAATCCCGGACAAAGGCTCACCGGAGAGAAGCTCACCGAACAAAAAGTCACCCATTTTTCCACAGACCCGGACAAAGGCTCACTAGGAGAAAATTTTATGTTGGTTTCAACACGAGTGCGGGCCCTCTTAGGTGCACGCGTGCGACACTGAAATGCAACGATAAATTAAATCTGACAGGCGCATGGTTTGTTGATTATAGTAGAAACAAGTTTATTTATCGATAAGTTAGAAGCGAACGCAGTCGCCTACGAGCTCCAGCAGTCTTGGTAGATTTTGATGTACCTGGAATACCTCGCAAATATTTTGAGGACGATTCTGCAGGCGCAGAGTGGTTTTCCGCACCCGCTTCACGGGGGGCTCACAACTCCGGGCTTGTGGCAATGCCCTGGCAACGAGCGCCTGACTTTGCTGTAGGCATTCAATCAGCCTCTAGATGCTTTGATGGGCGTGGCCGACGATCTTTGGGAATCCAGTATTCCATCCTCCGCAGGTGTTGTTCGTCCGGTCTTTATCTTGAAGAGTGGCGTCGTACATATTCCACCGTTCCGGGGGAAACTCCGGTCGTCGTCGGAGCACAGTCAGGCAAAGGGAAGAATTCGCTCTGGGTACCGCCGCAGAAGGAGCAGAAACATAACGGAAGAGGCCGTTGACATACGTGCTATCAAAGTAGTCCAGCAGGTAGCCGATGTTACCGGTCGACTTTTCCCTGATGGTTAGTCCTTCGGGAACAAGCTGTGATGGAAGGAACGTGAGCCTATCCAAAATCCCGCACAGCTTTCTAATTTGGTTATCTGTCTTGTACTTTTCCAAGAGGCCCAACTCTCGTTCCTTCAAAATATTTTTAAGAATTATCAAATTAATGGTTCATATATTACAGTTTTCCTTCAGTTTCCCTTTCACATCACCTTGAGGTAATCCTTCATTTCAAATACATTTACTACGCACAGTGACGGAAATTATTTTTTTTTAGCTATTCACCTTAAATATTACCCTGAACCCCAAGAAAATCTATGCATTAGTAACGAAGACACATTGTGCCTAAAGGCCCGTTCACACTCTTGCGACCGACTTCGACCGAGAGAGACCAGACCGGTTTTTAAGCCTTTTGCGACTTCTTAGGAGCGGATGCGATGCAGCGGAGCTGGTCCTAAGAAGTCGCGAGAGGCTTAAAAACCGGTCTGGTCTCTCTCGGTCTAACTCGGTCGCAAGAGTGTGAACGGGCCTTAACCTTTATGTGCGCGTCTAGCGTGACATAAGCACAATGAAAAAGCGAGGTCACCGAATGGAAACTTCGCTTCTTCGGTCACTCTTCGGGTTTAAAAACTTCAGTTCACGAAGTTTCTTGGGCGTGGCAAAAGGGTGCTGCGGCATACCTTGAGTCAAGCAAGCTTGATCTTATCAGCTCCACTCAGTTTCGGTGACCTAAATGTTGGTCCCAAATCGTTGCTTCTCTGCCTGTTATGGCTTATCGGTTGATACCTTTGCGTGGAATGAGGTACAAGTTCTCCTAAAAATGGTACAATGTCCATCGCGTTTGCACTTTATTTCAGCCCGTGTTTCGCCCGGGTCGCAAAAAAAAAAAAAAGTGAGCTTTTGTCCGGGTTTGTGAAAAAACGGGTGAGCTTTTATCCGGTGAGCTTTTGTCCTGTGAGCTTCTGTCCGGTGAGCGTTTGTCCGGTTACCTCCAAAGCTTGGCATCCCGCATAACAGTTCGTTTTGTAAATCCTTCATAACACTCATCTCCCCTGACTGGAACCACCTCTCTTTTCTTGAGTTAACCTGCTAACCTGCTTTTACAGCGGAGCTGTTAAGGGCTAGTTTCCCCAGTTTTGTGTCCGCCACCGAATAAATGTCGACACAAAACTCTGGACAGCTACCGCCATTCATGAGCGACGTTGGCAACCAGACAACCGGCTTGCCGGTTGTCTCGTTTCCGTCGTCGCTCATACATGGCGGCAACTTTTCCAGCATTTCCACTCTGGTTTTCACGAGAGTCGAAAAGCTGAATTTCTCTAGGCATCGTCCTAGAAGTCGTCCTTGAGGTTGTCCTAGACGTCGTCCTCTAGACATCGTCGCGGACGTCGGAAGGATAGCAGCTTCGCTGGTCTTCCATTTTATTATTAATATTATTATTATTATTGTCTTCACGTGAAGTGGAAAGGCTCTACAACTTGTGTTTAATATATTTATATACTTATTTTTATTATCGTTTCCTAACTCTCTCTTTGTAATGGTATACATATCTTAAGGGTAAATAAATAAAATAAGGCAAGCTCCAGCTTGCAGATAAGTAATCGTTGCAATGTAAGAAAAAACCTCGGAAAACGTTGAACAAAATTATGTTAGTTAAAAAGATTTACCGCCGAATTCAGAAACCTCACTCAAACTGCACTCAAACTGAAGGGCCCCTCCACTTTCTCGAGGAAGGCGCGAGGGCCGGCGCTGGCCAATCGCGAGGACGGATCCGCCGTCGCGATTGGCCAGCGCCGGCCCTCGCGCCTCCCTCGAGGAAGTGGAGGGGCCCTTCAGTTTGAGTGTAGTTGGAGGGAGGTTTCTGAATTCGGCGGTTAGGTTCGCATTATGGCACGTAATTATGGTGTTCCACGTATTCCCTTTGTGATCGGCATTACAAAACATATTTAGCTTTGCGCTCAGAACTTTTCACCCGATTTGTCCTATCCCGAGCACCGATTATCGCCTCTGTAGAGGAAACAAAGAAGTGGACAACACAGTGTCCAGTATTCAGGATGCTGAAAGTTCACCAGTTCGATTGAAAATAATTTGTTATGTCTAGTTTCTGTTGATTGCAGTGATTCGTAATTCGTGTGTTCTTGGAGAACGATACGCAACAGTACTGATGTCTTTCTGTGATTAAAAACGTCTACTTCAGCTTACCATGAAAGAAACAACAAAAATACCGTTGATTCGCCACCTTTACAGGCGACATCTTCAGTATATACTGACTCAAATGAGCGAAGAGGCCAGATGAGGTCCCAAAAAATTTCTGGTGTCGTATTTAGTCTGTCGTTTGGGGCTCATTGGCGTGCAGTGCGAACCGCGGCCCCCTACCGGACGTTTACAAGGATTTTCGCAATAAGTATCGACTCATAGGCCTCTCGCCTAAATTATGCCAGAGTATATTGAAGACACCATCTCGATAGGTAGCAAAACGTCTGAACTTTTTCTGCTTTCTCTGTTTTGTTAAGCTGGAAGGAACGTTCTCAATTGTGAGAAAATATCATAAGTGTGCAGGTGAGCTGGTGAATATTAACTATGTTGGATAAACCTGAGAGTGGGGTAGAGAAAAGACATCAAAACGTAGAAGAGACAGAAAATAGACAGAACGACGTCTGAAACTCAACTGATTTGTTTATTTAATCCACCTCCTTATATAGTCTCAATCTCAAGGTCAACTCCACCGATACAAAATGATGAAGTCTGTACAGTTAAAGCGCCACAGTCTCAATCACACAATACATGAGTGCGGAAAACCTTACAGCTCGACGTGATAAGCAGCATCCATTCTCCTTCAAAGGTGATCAAAGGAATCTCTTCCCCCTGTATTCTAAACACAGTTCCCACTTCTAATTAAAAAAACGCATCCTCCACCAACTACTAAATACAAAACAAAAAAACGCACACGTCGAAACGCCTTTTTAGCCATCACAGGTTAAAAAATAAATAAAAGTGTTTTGCAGTTTTTTTGTTTTTTTTTGGCAATCAAAATCAGGGTTGCACTTTACAGAACCCAAATCGCCCTAAAAAGAAAAAAAATTGGCATTACATTTTAATAAATATTTTTCACTTGTTTCCGAACTGTAGCGAAGCCTGACTTATACAGCTGCTTAGAGATTTTATCCGCACGGTCTCCCTTACAACTCTTTTTACATCGCTCCTCTCTATGTGCATGCTTTCAGTCTCCGACTAGGACTCCGTGCAGTTGTTACATTCATGCATATGTTTTGCGATTTCATAGTTTTTCATATTTCTTTTATGTTCGTTTAATCTGTCATTGATGCAGAGTGCCGTCTGTCCTACATACTTAAACCCACACTCCAATGGTATTTCATATACAATACCATTCTCGCAAAATACCGATTTTTCTCGATGAGCCCTTTTGCACTCACTCACCTGTTTTAAATGGCGTAAATTTACTTAATCTAAAATCTGAATTAAAGGCCCTGTCCACTCCAAACTGCCTCGCACATGCCTTCAGTTTGTGAGAAATCTCATGAAAATATGGTATTACAGCAAAGCGGTTTCCTGATTTCCGTTCGGTTTCTCTCCTGCGTTAGATAAACAATTCTAATTGACGTTTGATGAGACTGTCATCATGTCCTACACTAAACAACCTTTTCCACTACCTTTCCTTGATTCAGTGATATATTGGAAACACGACCTTTCTAACGCGTTCCTGACCAATGACTTTACAATTCCAGCCTTTACTTTCTTCGAAATATAACAACTCATTCTTGGCCAAACTGGTTTCGAATTTCCTTTTCCGTACACCCCACATAACCCTAGATTCACGTGAATGCGTGAATCAGGGGTTATATTGGGAATATATATTAAATGGACAAAAAAGAAATGTGAAGAACAATCCACAAAACTTGGAAATCGTAAAGTATATTCATGAATCAAACAACTGCGCGGCGTTCCGGTCGGTGACTGAAATCATACACAAAGAGAGGAACGGTGTAAAGAGGCGTTGCGGATAAAATCTCTAGACAACTGTATAAGTCGAGCGGTGGAGAAAAGCTCACCGGAGAAAAGCTCACCGTAGATAAGCTCACTGGAGAAAAGCTCACCGCCAAACTGCCCCGACGCGGAGAAAAGCTCACCGGCCATTTGACCGATGCGGAGAAAAGCTCACCTACGGATCTAAGAATCGAGAGTTCACTGAAATACGTTCACTCAACTGAAGTATGCTGGGATGCCTTATGCGCTTGCGGTCGTTCTGCACTTCACTAGCAATATATAGGGTGGCTAAAGTCGCCAGGCTCGATCTAAAATGGACCGTAAAAATCGACGCCTGCCCGTAGCCCCTCAAACTTTTCGTCAAAGGTGTATTTCATAGGTCGGTTTTTTCTTGTAGAATTACAAAGCGTAGTTCTCTTTCTGTAAAAAATAAGGCCAAGAAACTTGCCTGGGTCAACGGCGGGAGGCGACGCAGACGACCAAGTCAAGGTGCGGGGTGTGTTTGACACTCCTATTGATAGATGGCGCTACCTCCTTGTTTCCGTCAGAGTTCTGGTTTCGGTTTGCTTTCAATGAAATATCGAAACTGCCCGCGTCGACCGTGGTTTCTTGACACCAACATAATCGGTTTTGTAATCTACCTTTGGCGTGAAAATAAATGCAGACAATGATAGAAAAACTTCAAGTAACAAAAATAAAAGAAAACGCGGTTGCATAACGACAACGCTGACGGCGCTCTTGCTGCCGGCGGATTTCGTCTGCGTGTCGTCTGCTTTCTTTCGCTGGTCGGTTGCATCCTTGGACGCTGCTTCCGAGACCATTTTTTTGTTTTGTTTTGCCGCGGTTGGTGGAGAGACAGCCACCATGCGTCACTTTGGATGCTATTTACACCGCATGCACTTTTGAGACACGGGAGGCTGCCAAAGCAAGCTCCAGATAAACAGCAATTAATGGCTCTGAAAAGAGCCTGTCAGTAGGAGCCCGCGGTTTTCGCGGTTGTCAAAGCCGCTGGTCATATGTGCAAAATGGATAGATATGTGATCTTCAGTTCTCGTTGTCTTCAGTCCACATGTCCACCTCGAACTTGGAGGCACTTGTGCAGTCTTCGCTCATAATCCCTGAAGGCTGCCTCCCGCATGTTGTCCGTGATCGCATCGAAGGCGGATATAATCCGCTCTTTTAGTTCCGTCATCGAGCGTACGCGAACTGCGTAGACCTGGGCTTTCACAAAACCCCAAACAAAAAAATCACAAATTGTCAGGTCAGGGGACCGTGGGGGCCAGGGCATTGTCGGTGACCCTCGACCCATCCAGTTGCCGGGAAAGGTTCTGTCAAGCCAGTCTCTCACTGCGGTGGCGTAATGCGGTGGTGCTCCGTCTTGCTGGAAGATGCACACCTCCCTTTGCATGTGCGAAGCTTCCAGCTCCGGCAAGACGTCCTGTTCGAGCATGCGAAGGTAGGCGTCGCCGGTGACCGTGCCCTCAAAAAACAATGGACCGACAACGCCTTCCCTCCAAAGTCCACACCATACTACGACCTTTGGTGACTGGATAGCCTCTTCAATGATCCAGTGGGGGTTCGTCTCGGACCAGCAGCGGGTGTTTTGCTTGTTCACGTGCCCATCCAGATGAAAAATAGCTTCGTCCGTGAAAAGCAGAAACGGAAGGTGGTTCCTGTTTGTGGAGATGCGCCCAAGTTCGTCCACGCAGAACTGCTTTCGCCGTTCATAGTCATCTGGCTGCAGCTCGAACAGAACCTGTGGCTTGTACGGATACATTTGTCGGCGGATCACCATCCAGACGAAACTTTTACTGATGCCAAGTTGTCTTGCGACTTGCCGCACGGACAGGCGTGGGTTCAATGCAAATGCCGCAAGCACGGCGTGTCGTTTGTTCTGCTGTGGCGACCTCTCTTCAAGTACTCGCAGCCTGGTCTGCACAGTGTTTTCCGTGTTGAATCGGTGCACCCAGCGCAGGACAGTCCGACGGGTGGGCGGACGCCTGCGAAAAGTGGCTCGAAACTTCGATCTCACTTTCCTCATACTCCTGGTTTCTGTAAACCAAAGGACTACTTTTGCCCTCTCTTCGACGGTCAGGTGACGCATTGTGGCTGTTTTCTCCCCAACCACGACAGAAAAGGTCTCGGAAGCAGCGTCCAAGGATGCAACCGACCAGCGAAAGAAAGCAGACGACACGCAGACGAAATCCGCCGGCAGCAAGAGCGCCGTCAGCGTTGTCGTTATGCAACCGCGTTTTCTTTTATTTTTGTTACTTGAAGTTTTTCTATCATTGTCTGCATTTATTTTCACGCCAAAGGTAGATTACAAAACCGATTATGTTGGTGTCAAGAAACCACGGTCGACGCGGGCAGTTTCGATATTTCATTGAAAGCAAACCGAAACCAGAACTCTGACGGAAACAAGGAGGTAGCGCCATCTATCAATAGGAGTGTCAAACACACCCCGCACCTTGACTTGGTCGTCTGCGTCGCCTCCCGCCGTTGACCCAGGCAAGTTTCTTGGCCTTATTTTTTACAGAAAGAGAACTACGCTTTGTAATTCTACAAGAAAAAAACGACCTATGAAATACACCTTTGACGAAAAGTTTGAGGGGCTACGGGCAGGCGTCGATTTTTACGGTCCATTTTAGATCGAGCCTGGCGACTTTAGCCACCCTATATATACATATATATATATATATCTTTTTTTTAATAACAAAAACATGGGTAACACGTCAGGCCTCGCCTGACGAAAATAAAATGAATACTTTCGATAGAACCTTAATTTAAAAGAAAATAAGCGGGGAAATATAACCATTGCAGAGGGCTGCAGCTCAAGCAGTTCCTGGAAACCTTTTATGTAGAATACCAACACCGCATTGCCAAATCTCCATATTTTCGCCATTTTTTTGAAAAAAAGGGGGGGGGGGGTCTTAATTCTTACCTTATTCCAACGGAAATATGAAGAAGTCGTATTTACTTCATCCCGGCTACGTCAGAATTAAATATGGTGACACTCACGTGATTCAAATCAGACCGGTTTTACCAAGATGATTTCAATCAAAACATGGCCGCAAAAATACTTACATTTTTTTATCATTTATGTTTCTTTACTATATGGTGTTTTTATAGGACCATATATTTTGTATTTAAATCAAAGAATAGTCACACAATAACGATTTAAATTGGACTGATCACGAGCAAAAAGCAGTGATCTCCAAAGCAAATTTTCTACCTGCGACTTGGTTCGTCAGTTACCTCAGATCTTTTTGTGAAGAATCCAGAACGTAATATAGAAGCGAAAACTGAGAAAGTGATGTCGTATTGCTAGAAAATCAGATTGGGGGAAAAAAAGCAAATATAACTTTTTTTTTAAGGAAAAAGAAAGAGAAAACAAGCTGTCTTTGTTTTAGTTGGCGGGGTTTTCATGAACAAAAAGCGGTTAAAACTTCAGTAACTGTTTTTTCGGCATTGTTTTTGACTGATCGGAAGCATTGATCAAACAACCAGCCGTGTTTAGAATTGCAAAGAGTGATAAATAGTCAATACTTGATAGCTACAGTAATATTAGTCTGATTTAAATAAGATAAATCTTACATATTTGTTTTAATCTAAATTTTCTTTTATTTAGCCCACAGCAGAGCGATCTGGTGTGAATTGCGTACACTGCGTCACCCTCTCAACATAAACAAAGAATCAACTTTTTTTTTTTTACATTTTAGTAGTTATTAAAACTTCTCTTTCGGTGGAAATTGCTCATTCGGGGCACATACTCATGCGATAAACGTTTGACGCTGATCAACCCCTTCTGTAAATAAAATACGAAAAATCGCTTCGCTCTAACTCTGTTGGGCGGTATACCGCCTGCATGAGAGGCGCATAAAACCTTGGTAGCACTACTGCTATTAACGACCAATTCACATAATTTAATTTAAGGTGGGCTTTTCCCCGGGTCTGTCAAAAGACTGGTGAACTTTTCTCCGGACCGCCTCAAAACTGGGTGAGCTTTTCTCTGGTGAGCTCTTCTCCGGTAAGCTTATCTCCGATGAGCTTATCTCCGATGAGCTTTTCTCCGGTGAGCTTTTCTCCGGGATTCGTGTAAGTCAGGCTTCCGTACAGTTCGGAAACAATTAAAAAATCTTTATAAAATTCTAATGTTAAACAAAGTCCTCTAAGTACAACTTGTGTTGTTTGAAGTGTGACCCTGATTAAGGTTGTCCAAAAAAAACTAAAGACCACACTTTTTATTGACGCGTATTGGCCCAAAAGCCGTTTAGATGTCTGCGATTTGTGTTGGGAGGTAGAGAGGGCTTTTTTTTATAATCATAAGGGGAACTGTGTTTAGAATAGAATGGGAAGGGATCCTTTTGTTCAAGTATGAAGAAAGATGGATGTTGCCATATCGCGTCGACCTGTAAGGTCCTCCACATTCTGGCATTGCGCGATGGAGACTGGGGTACTTGAACTGTACAGACTTCGTCATTTTGTGTTGGTGGAGAAAACCTTGAGATTGAGAATACTATATAAGGAGATTGACTAAATAAACGACTTAGCTGAGTTTGAGATGTCGTCCTGTCTATTTTCTGTCTCTTCTACGTTTTGATGTTTCTTCTCTGCTCCAGTCTCAGGTTAATCCACCATGGTTCAATTGTGAATTCTACCGATTTTTGGGAATATTTTTGCAGTACAGTTTTTCTAGAGTTCAGTCGTGATTGGTGCTTTGCAATCTTCTGGGGTTTCTTTCCCTTTCAGGAATATTCGGGATGTGCTTGAAGTACCATATCGTAAGGAAGCAAAACGTGTCCAAAGATCCTCGAGTGGACAGAATTAATAAGTGGACCTTGACCGGAGGAATGTGCACGCTCCTCGGAATGCTTCTAGTCATCCTTTGCCCCACGGGTCACATGCGCAGAGACGGGGGCTGGGTAAGAATAAATTCAATTAAACTGGTGACATGCTTCGAGTGTACGCATTGATGTTACTGCCAAGTGATCAGGTCAAAAGGTTCCTTATAAATGTAAGATATGTGTTTTACAAATGAACCAACTAGGCCAAGTTGTGTCGTTCTTGTGTCCGATCAGATTGCTGGTGGACCTACGCCAAGCATTTTGTAAGGTGGGAGAGGCCTTGTCAGGCTTTTTGTCCTTTTGCCTCTGCGTCCAATGCGGGTGTACTCCCGTAAAAAACAATAAATGACACTTTAGAATATTAATGCCTATAAACACAGGAAGATGGGACAGTTATAAAATGCTCACTAGTCAATTTGTATCGGGATCTGTTTATCGCAACTTAGTGTTAACGTATAATAAATAACCAAGGTAACCACAATAAAAATATCACCATAGATTATATTTTTATCATCTATAATGATAAAATATCATTATAGATGAAAAATCATCATTTTAAATAATCATGATAAATCATCATGATAAATTTTATCATCTATGGTTACCAACTTGCGAGATTTATGAGTCATGACTTTGTTCACACAGGTTTAGACGTTGGTGTACACCTGTTTGTTTTGCTTTAAAGATGTTTAATACGTCTGTACGTTTTGAGAAGTTTTGCTATTTGCTATAAATGGGCTAAACCAGTGCGGAACAATAATGGTCATTAGTGTCGTGCAATTATACTTTTCCCTTACTGTCTTGCTTGAAATAAAAGATATATAACTTTGTATCTGTGAGTGAATTCTACATTGTGACTTCAGCGTTTGCGGTTTGTGTTTTCTTCCTTTTAACATCGTAGTACTGGCCCATCTTCGTTCCACACAGTGTGGGAGCAGGCCTGGTTTTTGTCGTGGGATATGTCATCGCCGTTCTGCATCTCTACCTCCAGCAACTCATGGATCCCCACTGGAAGACGTCACCTTTGTACTACTTCAGGCTCTTTCTGACCATTACGGGCATCACCGCTATGGTCATCAGTATCCTTTGCTTTATTATTCGTACTTATCGATTGACACAAGCTGTGCTTAGAACTTGGTGCTTTCGCTATATGATCGACTTGTTTATTTTATTATAATCTCCCTGCTTGCCAAGGTTATTTCTGGATAGCGTTAATTTTTTTTAATTTAGCTTGGAACTTCTGCGTTATGTTACTCGTAATCCTTCGAGTCTAAAAGAAAATGTTGTTCACAGTGAAGTCCAAGGTTCACGGTATCCCAGGGTCTTAGTAACTTTGGTTACTGACGGTAACACCTATTCATTATGACAAATGCGTCTTTCTCACACCGTGTAGTACCCTCTGGAACAAAAAAAAAAAATATCCGCTAGAATTCAGACGTACTTGTTTTTCAATTGAACGTTTTGCTATTTTCGGTGGCGTCTTTTTGTGGCAATTCGGAAGAGAAGGGTGCGCGTGCGCGGCCTTGATCGGCGCTAAGAGCGCCCGAGCGCCCGTGCGTTCATAGCTTTAATTGCATAGCCACGGAAAGTTGTCTACGAGCATAATCATATATTGAGTCACTTTGTCTTCGAATGATGATGATCAGGATATTTGAACTCTAGGTAAGAACTCAGTGATTTGATGTTCACGAATGCAAGTTTGTGTGCTCGCAATCGTACTAAAAAAAAACAAAAAAAGGAAAAACAAGGAAACAAGGAGACGCAAAAAGGGGACAAACACAACATAGTATTTTCTTTTTTTTTTTTTTTTTTGCTTCAATCGAAATGACGATATTTTGAAGGAAATAAGAGTTACTGCGTTGCAAAAAGGGAGATCGGTGGCCGAGTGCACACAAGCTCGGAGCACGTGGAGCGAAAGCTCGCGCTGCAGAACCCAGGATCCTAGGTTCAATTCCCACCCCTGCCCGTTTCGATCTCTGAATGAGTATCGTATACTGGCGTGCGGTCGTGTATCACGACTGCGTAGTGCACGTTAAAGACCGCAGGTTAGCGGTTGTACCGAACTGGCTAAATTGCTCATCTACAGCTGAGACACCAGACGCCCACCGAGGCAGACTAACTTCCTTCTGTATAATCATACACACAACAATTTTCGCTTTTGCGTTGCAAGAAATACAAAAAAAAAATATTGAGCTTTCACGCTCATGTGTCTTATTGCTGACAGTTTGTTAGGGTAGAATGCGGTCTTGGCTCTGCTTGTTTTCTGGTTTTGGCCGTTCTATTATATTGATCTGACCCCTAGAAGCAAACACAAAAAGAGCTCAGATGGTAGACTGGAGCCCAAATTGGAAGTTCTTATGAATTTTCTTTGAGTCACTGGGGGTATCAAGCACCACGTGGTGCGTAAATGAGTTTTGCAAGGCATATCAGCTCTTGTGGCCAGCAAAGGCGATCTGAAATATTAGATCACTTTGTTGTTTACTGCAAGTAATCCAGCGTGCGACGGCCTACGAGCGGTTGCCACCTTGACAACATGCAAGAGTACGTACCAAACTCGCTAATCACTTAGTATCGCAACTACTTAATTCCGGTTTGTGGAACAGTGTTATAAAAGTCACTGGTGCGATCGGGTGGCTTTGTTTCAGTTACACGAGGACGCGTGCAAATAAAACAGTCACGCTCTAGCGCGAGAGGCTTTCCCGAGCTTTTACATTATGTATGAAGCGCAATGCCGAGACTTACTTATAGCCCTCGCTCGAATTGACGTCAGAGCCTTTTAGCTGTCCGAGCTTCAGGCAGAAAGACAAAGAGTTAACGCGGTTTTCCTGGTGTTCTTTTTTTTTTTTTTTTTTCTTGCTACAAGGGAAACAGTAGCTGCGAGCACAAGCTGCTATCTTTATTTCGCCCTATCGTTAAAACCCGTTTCTTACAACAACAAAAAAGTAAAAGCTGTTAATTCCTGCTTTCAGATTGCAGTCGATTTTCGTTATCGAGAGTTAAGGTAATTGCAATGTATGAAATTGTTTTTGGTATGATATTCACAATAGGCGCGTAAAAAACGCATTTCTAATTTGTGTCTAAATGCCAGTCCTGTTCATTCATTACTATGTTTATCAGCATAAAGAATACTTTAAGATCCACCTGATCTAGCCTTCTGCAGAGTATATTTGTGCATACAGACGTATAAATGATAGATGGCATTATGAGCTATCATTCAAACCTTTAAAACAATAGGGCGATCGTATCTCTCTGATTAGATTAATTAAATGCATTTGGCTCTATGATGACAAAGACGCAGCTCTACCCTAGATACGACATTGTTTTAGAAACGGTAGCATGCCAAATATACCTTGTATTGTGTTACTGTCAGCATTCGTGGACATCAAAGGCCAACGTACATTTATCTCGCAATTTCTTTCTTGGATGATAAACCGACATTTTCAGTTCTTGCCTTCGAGTGAAGATTAGGACAAGCTAAGCAGCAGTCCTTTGAGAAAGGCGCCGAGTAAATTCTAAAACGGCGACGCACAGTTCGCGCTTTCCATTTTTTACGGCTCCTCTTTTCCTATATCCTCTCCACTTTTTACCTTGCTCCAACTGGACTTCCCCGCAGCTTAGGAGGAGGGGGGGGGGGGGGGGGGGGACGCTGAGAAAATTATCTTTCCTGCAGAAAACTGAGGTTGTACGTCCGCCTTTAAGTGAAAAGCCTGATGGCGCGACGTTCAAACACCAAATACGGATTAACATTTTGCTCTAGCCTCAAGTTCAGATCCAGCTCAAGCATGGGCCTGACACGTGTTTCTGAAACACTTTATATACAGTTTCACTAATCAACTTGCAGGCCGCTATCTTTACCTATTTGACTGTGGAACGCGTTCAGAGCATACGCAGTAGCGTTAACAGCCCAGTGACCTAGCAATTTTTCTCTTGGTGATAAGCACCGGAAAGGTGTGTGGTTACCTTCAGCTTCAGAAACGCAGAGCGTGGCTTATAACATTCGCGATCCTTTCTTCGCGATTCGTTCTTCCGCCATCTTGTGCGCTAATGGCCAAATCAAATTAGCCGAGGAGCCTAAATATACTCGGAACTCACCACGCCCTGCGTTTGGGTGAATATATAGTCACACGTATGCCGGTGCACTGGAACCACCATTCGCGCGATTTCACTGATAAAGCAGCCAACGACGTGAGTACTCCTTACATTGTGTTTCGCGAAGCCGTCACCCAGTGGCCACTGAACGACATCAGCAACATGGCTCCCGTGGCTGACCACGGAAAGCAGGTGAGCGTCGGAGCGAAATGTGCATTTCTCCGTACTTAAAGAGGAACTGGAGCTCTTCTATATTTGAGTAGAAACACGTAAAACACCTTTATTTGACCTTCAGGATCGGAAATATCAAGAATTTTTTTTAATTTTTATTTGGTGCATCGATGCTGCAGGAAATCATTTTCAAAGTACCGCTGAAGCCTCACCTTCCCGGAACGTTACGTCATAAAAAGATTTTTACGAATCTCCCTTCTCGCGCATTTCAGCGCCTATCGAAGCTATGCACGCACACCCTTGCTATTTTCTAAAATGTCAAAAACAGACATCACGGCTGGTATCTGTGCGAAGGATTATACCTAGGAAGCTTGCAATCGGACGCGGTGTCCACACGTGCGACACGCACTTGGCGGTCGAAAGATCCTTTTTATGACGTACCGACTGGTCTGAGGTTTTTCGTGTTTTCTCGCGTTTAGCTACATCTTCGGGGAAAACGAAGATATTCGGATTCACGGGGTAAATACACTCTAAAATCCACCTCTAACTTGTTTTCTTCCAAGAGCCTCTTGAGCTTGCCATTAACGCGAATGTTTACTGTACGAAACCAATATTGAGTCAATCAGGCAATAAGGGCTGGGCGTCGATTAAAAATTTTAACCCGATTAATCGCCACCCCTTAATCGATGAATTAATCGATTAATCGGCTTCGTTCATTTCAATGCGTAAAATTATTGGAACGTCAAATTCACACTGATTTGTCTTGGCTGAATATTCGAAATACTGCGCAATATACAATTTCGCTTATGAATCATCCTCGACGTGTTGTTGAGAACAGTTGAAAAACACTCACGGACATAGGTTTATACTTCAGCTGCATTAAACAAAGGTGCTCGCTGTTATTCTCCGGCGGGAGTGAGCGCCTTTGGTTGTTCAGTGTTCTATGTGGCGCTAAACAAACTCTCGTACGGCGTTGAAGTGGCCGGGACTCGTGATCCCTTCTGCACCTTGTCTGGAGTTACAAATCTTGCCCCCACAGTATACTTTGCGTTGAAATTTCACTTAAGGTATGCACTTCATGCAGCTAACGCCTACCCATCCACGCCTGTGAAGTGAAAGCGTTTAGTTTTCATTTTCTTATGGTTGGGCAAAATTTTACCGATTAGCCGGTTAAAAATTAATCGCGATTAAGGCATTAATTGATTAATCCCTATGTTAATCGGTGATTTGCATAGCACTGATCAATAGTGCTTCGACCAGATCCCTATTGTCGGTGTCAGTTTAAAATTCCAATATATGCTCCACCTCGTGCAGGAGCTTTCTGCCTTTGGTAACACTTCGTTGCACGCTCAGACAAAGCCTGGAGGAAGGCAGTGAGCGCGTGCTGGAGGGGGGGGAGGGAGGCGGAGTATCTGCGAGGTTCACTATAATTACTTTTTTTTTTCTCGGCCGTCCCAATAGTATTTAAAGCTCTTTTTTACCCGTTTACATTCGGGTAACAAAGTTATTATCTTCGGGGACTGTTTGTTAGGGACATTATACCAAACGTTTAAAACATTCGGGATACATTTTAATGGTCGCTGTAGCCGGGAAAGTGATATTCTTCGTCCTTATGTAATTTTGGTGTCTGTTTGCGTTTTAGGTATTCGCCGACATATTGATATAAATTATTTTTTTGTTATAGTTACCCACAAGTAATTTACGGCATCTAGTGGCTATATCACTAAGCTGCCGAGGCAAGCTGTGCGGAGCGCAAGCTCGTCTGCTTCTTCCGGAGGGGTTGCGTTGGCGCCAGAACGTCGAGCTCTGATTAGCCTTGATTGGAAGTATAGTGGGTTGGCCTCAAAGGGATACTGAACCGAACTTTCGAGCCCACTAAACAAGGCTGGACGAATAGGCGGCACGCTGCAAAACCCAAAAACATCACTCATACAGCGATATCTCTAACGGATCACCGTATTTTTGGCAAAGAACTACGCGATTGAACACGGCCGACGAGACAAGGCACGCCACGATTCCCTTTCCCTCTCCACCTCGCTACGTCCCATCGAGCTGGTGAACCGAAGCGAGGAGGAGAGAAGCGAGGCCGCTTCCCCTCAATCTCAAATTCTTCCGGAGGGCAATGACGTCAAAGAACTCGCTTAATCGCGCCTTTTTTTTTTTCCAAAAGTACGGCCATTTTTTTTAGTTATCGATGTACGAGAGTGATGTTTTGAAGTTCGTAGCGTCCCTTTCAACGCTTTAGCGACATTATTTTGCGAAATCCGAATTTCAGTTCAGTAGACCTCAAGGCAGCTAAGCACGTAGCTAGCAGTGAGGTCTACCCCCTATTCTATCAATCAGAGCCAATCAGAGCTCGGCATTTTTACGTCACCGTAACCCCTGCTCAGGAATCAGACGAACTTGCACTCCGCATAGCTCATAGAGAGTTTGAGGAACGCTGGCCGTTAGATAACACTTTCAATGTTCTCTCGTTTTAATTCTTGCTTTGGCATACGTATCGGCCAGTGTTGTAAGCGTCACCGGAAAAAAGGTAACTATATATGCTACGCTTTACTTGCAAATGAAAAAAACGTGTTACCAACCAACGCTACCTCAAAATAAAAGAAACGCGTTACCGTTACCACAAAATGTAACGGACGTTACTTTTGCGTTACTTTCTTAATTATGAATGAACACGCTTTACTGTTTTGACGTTAGAGGTATGCATAAGCGCCATATTTCAAGAAACATAATGTCCATGCAAAAACCGAACATAATTAACTTACCTTTTTTACAATTTCATCTGAATACTGACCAAAAAAAACACAGACTGCAAAAACTCAAAAATGCACTTGGCTTGGCGCCTAGAAACACAAAAAAAAAATTCAGTGTAACTTTTTTAAGTCTTGGGAAGAATACGTGTAGCCAGTAACCTAGCTGCGTTACAGGTTCCTTGGAATAAATAACGTTAAGTACGTTACCCTTTACTGTTTTAAAATATAACGAGTCCGTTACGTGTTACCGAAAAAAAGTAACACGTTACCGCCACCACTGGTATCGACTAATGCTGCAGCATCATTGATTATTAAGTGATAATTAAAAGCTCGTAACTCGCCACGTTGCGCATTTCTTAAGTTGTCAATATCTATAGCTTGCTGTTATGACAAAGAGGATCGATATTAGCAACTCCTGCTGGTCAAAATTCTACGCCCTTAAAGCAAGCTTGAAAACGTGTGCCAAATATTGTTTCTGTGCAGTCAGTGGGATCTCTGAAGAGGCAATAAAAATGTGTTGCCAACACCGGTATATACGTGCGCAAAATGACGGTTGGGCAAACCGGAACTCTACAAGTAATGCGAGATCGCGGTGCGCAAGTCACGCGGGCAACAGAAGTGCTTTTAAAAACTTTTTTCTCATATATCCTGCTGGATCTATATATACGAGAAGAATCTTAAATCCAGTGAGCGTTTGTTCTTTCGCTGTCATCCGTGAGAAGCCTTTGTCTTTTGTCGTTAACGACCGTCCTCCTTTCTTTTTTTCTTTTTTTCGTAGTACCCGCAACAGATGCTGAAATGCATTGTGGCCGAGTGGGTCATGGTGCTCGTGTTTCAAGTCTACGTTCTCACCTACCTGTCCGACTTTCGGGATGCGACATTGTTCTTCAGAGTCGACCTTGAGAGTACAGGCGACAAGAAGGAAAGTTGACGACGATGACACGACAGCCCTTTGGCCGACTCTGGAGGCGGGTGCAGGAAAACTTGGATGAACTCGCTGGCATCATTTCCTTCCTGGTGTTATCCAAATATTGACGGCTCGTGACGGGCCACTATGCACAATTAAAGCACCTACCGCGTTTCAGGCGGCGAGATATTGTGTTTTTCCCCCTACCAGGGTTTGAGAAATTAACGCACAGTGCGCACTAAGACGTTAGATCACCTTGTTTGAGGGCCACACTTGTAAGGGTGTTCAGCAACACACTTACGTCGCAGACGCGTTGACAGAATTATCATCTGCGGACTCATGTCAAGTATGTTCGAAGTACGTTCGCTTCATACACACATGTAGGCTTCGAACGTGTGTGACGGGGTCGTCACACAAAAAAGAAATACGGCTGAGGCCGTGTCTGCAGACCGCCTTTTGTATAATGTATTGACTGTTTTGGGATTCTGAGGAACACCCTAAAAAGTGTGATGCTGGCGATCCTGGCAGAATCTTGGGAGTATTTTTCTACGAGACGCAAGTGTACGAGCAACGAGCCCCACGTGTGGGTCTCAGGTGCACGGAAAAACGAATACAGACGCGACGAATCACGCACGAGAGCAGAATCAGGGACCCGATGACAGCTCCACCGCGTTATATACTCGTCGTTTCAAAGTCACTAATTTTCGAGTGACTGTCTCCGCAATTTCAAAGGCTACAGCATGTTGCTTTTTGTTCGTTAATATCTCGCGTTTAATACGCCTACTTTCAAGGAATGTATCTCAAAGTCAGAAGTATCGGTAAGCTTAATAAATATTCGGCATAGTCGCTAAGCCAGGGTGTGGAACCGGAGCTGAACCGAACCAAAAACCCGACCCGAACCGGAACTGAATCGAACCTAAATCTTTGCCGCCATCTTGAAACTGAACCGGAACTGAAAAGAAAAGCAATATAACGGTCACCCATTTCAAAACGGTTCCCGGCAATTTTTTTTTTTTCAATTACAAAAATGAATGTCTGAAAAGAAAATGGCAGCCGTATTTATATGTAGTGATTAAGTTGCCATATACCGAACTCCAATGTATAAGAAATAGCGGATTTCCGTATCGCTCTTGTATTGGTACTATGATTTATCGTGTGTCATGTGGTCACGTGACGTTATGGTGTCAAGACGTGCTGTCAAGTGTGTACATCAGCATCGCCAAACATTTGGGTAATGGCTCGTGTTCAATCAAAAACGAGTAGCCGAACTCTAACAGTGTCTAAAGCTCAACCCATGATTTATTCTTTGCCAACTCCAGCGCATATAACTCTGATGAACAGTGACAGTGTATGATTATAGCCCCACATCAGGTAGCCGCTTATTCTGACTGCAAGTTGAGGCGGGGAAAGCTGTTTCTTTTCTTTTTTACTGTGTCTGTCATTGAGCGGAGAACAAACGAATGGGTGTTTTGCAAGTTATCCATGTCGTGGATTAGCTCTTAGCAGTATTTACCGAAAGTACATAAAATCCTGCTATACCCAGTTTAGACGTACGTATCATTGAGGCACATAAACATGTTTTCGTTGTTGCTGAACACTTTCAGGAAGTTGTCCTCGAGAATAGAAGCCTTTAAAGGACTAAATGTGACTTATTAATACGACTATAAGTAGAACTACAAGGATGATATAGTAAAGGTGCAGGCGAGCTGGCGAATGTTAACCATGTTGAATAAACCCGAGACTGGGGCAGAAATGAACATATAAGTCGAAGGAACAGAAAAGGACAGGACGACGTCTTAAACTCAGCTACCAGGTTGATTTAGTCCGCCTCTTTATATAGCCCACAACCAGCCACCACCAACACAAAGGGCAACCTTTGTCTCTTTGTGTTGGTTGGGTCGATTGGAGAGTTTGGCGTTTGAACTGGTTAGAGGTTGCCCCTGTGTGTTGGTGGTGGCTGATTGTGGGCTATTTATATATAAGGAGGCGGGCTAAATAAACCATGGTAGCTAAGTTTGAGACGTCGTCCTGTCCTTTTCTGTTCCTTCGACTTATATGTTCATTTCTGCCCCAGTCTCAGGTTTATTCAACATGGTTAACATAGAACCACAAGTGTGTACTAGAGGGATACCTGAAAATAAAAATCCTGGTAGTCTCAGTGGGACAACCCAAAGTTGGCAGCCGCTCAAATTCTCACGGGAGTGTCGTTCTCAAGTTCATCCCCAAACGTCGACCACCTCCTTATCTTGTTTAAACGTTATAGTTTTAGGTGCAAAATAAAACAAATGAAGGATTACTGGTAACAAATGGCACAAATATAATTGTCGAATTCACCCGCCCAAACTAGGGATGTCGCGAACCACCCTAGGTTCGATTTCGAAAGGTTTCGATATTTGCGAAGCGAACTTAGGTTCGATTTCGAAAAATTTCGATATTTTCGTACCGACCGAGGTTCGATTTCGAAAAATTCGCAACTTTTGTCCACAGCGGAGTTTCGAATTCGAAAATTTCGAAGCTTTCACGGTTTCTAAAATTTCGAATTCGAATATTTCGAATATATTTTTACCTCAGGTTCGATAAATTCGAAGATTTCAAAATTCTTTGTAAAAAAATTCGAAAACTTCGAACGCTTCGAATTTTTATAGACATGAAGGTCGAACAATTCGAAGATTTCGAATTTCTTTTGGCATAAAGTTCGAAAAGTTCGAAAGTTTCGATTCTCTTTTAACGCTAAATAAAAAAAAAAAAAACTTTGAAGATTTTGAATTTTTTTCTAATCCAAGTTTTCAAAGTTCGAAGTCCGATTTTCAAGTTTTTCTACAGTTTCAGTTTCAAATAACGTTTTCACGACTCACTTGTTTTCACAAAATCAAGTTTAGAAAAGTTAGGGTGTGATATCTAGATTCTGCGAAGTTGGTAAGGCAATTAAATGAGACGACGAGTGTCTCGGACGTGCTAGAATATTTGCCAGTGCAGAATTGTGACCGCCAGCCCCCCGGGGGGGGGGGGGGGGGGGTCTTTATCACGCAGTAGTGATTGCACGAACACACTGTTTTACGAGACTCATCCAGTTCGAAACGGCCAGGGGCGAGCAGGAGGTTGAGGCTCAGAGAAACCTTGAAGCGACCTGGCAAACTAGCTCGCCACCCCTTGCACGCTGGTAGTAATCCGATCCGGTGAAGTTTATAATTGTACTGGAGGTTTATTTTGTGGGACGGAGGAATCGCCTCGCAAAAAGCACAAAAGCCGACACAACTCGAGGTCGAGGAGCGTTCTACCATACAAGTGGCGTCGGAAGAGGAAAAACGGGGGAAAGAGGGTAGCGGGGGGGGGGGGGGGGGGGGGGGGGGGGGGCTTCAGCCTCCTTCTCCCCCTTGCAGGTATTTCGGACTGTTAAAGAAAACAATACGGGGAAAGAGGGCGTGGTCGAGCTTATTTTAATCTGAAATTATTTATGCATATGTATAGCTACTGTCGCTCTTCACTGCATAAAAGGTTGCGTAGATGGTCATTGTTAGAAACTCGTTGTCAGAAGGCACTGCTCGTCACATGCTTAGTGGTTCGGAAGTCCAAAGCTGTCTTTTCGACCTAAACACCTGTGCCGATAGTAACAAAAGAAAAAAAAAAAAAAAGAATAAATGCGGGAATAAAAAGCAGGAGAAAAAAAAAAACGATCAAGAATTTGTCGGAAGTGTTCTATTCTTGCATATTCAGAGGTTCAGAACTTCGAAACAAGTTTCTTTTACCAAAATGCGTACAGGCTAAAAGAAACACGTCCCAGGAACGTGAAGCGAAAAAAAAAAAGTTTTCTTTTAATGACGTGCTGAACTTGAACACTACTAGAAATCTTCTGCCATGAGTTAGTTTATTCCTTAACGTGAAAAAACAATAAATATATTATTTTGTATTCTGCAGATGGCAATGATATGTACTGTCTGTGGTGTTAATTTAAATGCGATACCTCAAACAACTTAGACGAAAATAAATATCAAGTTTAGGTCATAATTGCATGCAGATACATGTTTGGACATTTCTTCGAAACTCACGTTGAATAACAATAATCATATCTTAAGACGGCACTTACCTACGCTATACATAGATCATTCTTAAAAAAAAGTATAACATATCTACCATAAATAGCTCCGGCTGCAGCGTGCTTCAAATCTGGCACAAACGATAATCGTCAAAAACCCGTCGTCCGCCCTCGCCCCTTCGGGGATTTATTTCTTTAAACCTAAGCATGCCAGAACATTGAAATCAATGACATTGTCTTTCGTAAGGAACGCAGCACCGCGTGTAAAAGTTCGAGAAAAAAAATTACTAATGTACCCCACTACTTGAAATCAAATGAAACCGTCCGCCGGTCTTTCGAAGTTCGACGAACGTCGAACTTTTACCCTATAAGTTCGAAGTTCGTCGAACTTCTGACTTTTCAGAATTCGAAAGTTCGAAACTTTTCGAATTTTCTTGATAAATAAGTTCGAAAGTTCGAAATTTATCGAATTTTTTGGTCAGTCAAGTTCGAAAGTTCGACAAGCATCGAACCTTGCAGCGCAATAAGTTCGAAAGTTCGAAAAAGATCGAATTTTTTAGCATAATAAGTTCGACGGTTCGAAAAGCGTCGAACTTCTTAGCTTAACAAGTTCGAAAATTCGACCTCCGTCGAATTTTACGATATAGACAATTCGAAAAATCGAAATCTTTCGAACCTTTCGAACCGCTTGATTCGATCATCGAAACTTCGATTCGAAAAAAGTTCGCGGCATCCCTAGCCCAAACGGAGGAGGGATTCTCTCTGGAATAATAAGTACTCTCTGGGGGAGCATCGAAAATAGAAAAGAAAAAAAAAAGGAGGAGGAGTTGGTGTAAGAACATAGTATGTTGTGAAGGTTTCTCTGCTCCGCATGTTCGGCACAGACAAGAAAGCGTGGTCTCGCACACTACTTTATTTGCTAAAACACTGCTGCCACAAATCGCGTTTTCGTGGTGTTAGACGCTCGCGCCGTTCGTCACGACGATGCACCAACCAAGGATAATTGACGTCTGTCAAATACATGACTTGTGCTGAGCGCAAACCTACTGAAGCGTTCATTTTGCACAACCCAATTTTATTTTCTCAACAATAACAAATCGCAGTGACCACCAGCCTATAGTGCAATGACGTCACGTCCACACCA